ATAAACCCTGACGATTGACAATTCATATCAGCGTGATTAAACGACCCACACGTCTCCCTGTGCCGCTGTCGCTAGACTACGTGGTGAACCACTCTGCCAGTTTCACATGAGCTGCGTCAGCGCTCATGTGAAACTGGGCATCAGATCTCTGCTTATTGTAAACATGTTCAGGGCAGGGCAGGAGGGTGACAGAGAGACTGATGAGGGGCTGCTGAAAGGCCCAACGTGTGTGTGTGTGTGTGTGTGTGTGTGTGTGTGTGTGTGTGTGTGTGTGTGTGTGTGTGTGTGTGTGTGTGTGTGTGTGTGTGTGTGTGTGTGTGTGTGTGTGTGTGTGTGTGTGTTTGCCGGCTGGCCCCTGGGAAGGGTCCTTCACCACCTCTGCAATCCCTCCTCCATCTGCCTCGTCCTCCCCGGGAACCTGCCAGCCAGATGTGGAGCCACTTCACTGGCAACCCCCAAAGTCCACCAGCTCAACATGCTGACCCACACTCACTCACTCACTCACTCACTCACTCACTCACTCACTCACTCACACGACGCAGCGCTGCTTTCACTTCACATGACGGAGCTGGCTGTAAACAAGGGAGCCAGGTGCATAGAGTTTTAGCTTTGAAAAAATATTTGTAAGCAAAAAAAAAATAGAATTAGGCTTTAAATGAAAGAGTTTGGTCCAAAATAAGGTTTTGAACTTATACAATGGTTGTTAGAAAAGGACAAACTAATCAAAAGGAAATAAACTTAAAGTCCAATCCTGATTTATTACAACTTTTATAGAGGCTTTAGACAAACTGGCAATAAACCTTTTATTATGTTATTACCCACAATGCTTCCTGATTGAGCTACATTCATTTTATTTGGATTTGAAGTACAAATGACACTCTTTGGCCAACACGGCAATTCAAATGTCATCTAAGTGATATTTGTTGTGCTTTACACGTTGAAGCTGTAAACTTGATGCTTATACTTACTCCTTTATAATTACTGGTGAAAATGATAGCCAATCCTATTAGTGATGAGCCACTGCATTTTTTAGGGTCAATTATCTCATCTCATGCCTGCTTATAAAGCCGAGCAGACCAGGCTGTGAATCTTTCACGCTGATGTCTTGTGGGCTTGAAGTCAAAACACTCGAGGCCTGCCATCGCATTTTCTTTTTCTTGAAACCCAACGGGGGGACAAAGTGAGTCAGCTCTGGCAGCCAGAGGAAACACTGCAGCGGTGTTTCTGGCGACCTCTGAACTCAGCTCGGCGGCTTTGGCTCCCTGCCAGACTAGCCGCTTGGTCCTGCGCGCACGGGCTGAGGAATGCGCTGGGCTGCAGCGAGCTCATTAAACAGTGCAGTGAGTGAGGGGTGAGGGCTTGTTGTTTGCACTGGCTCGCCTTCTCAGGCCGTGCAGCTCTTTGTGCGACGACAGATCTCCAATCACAGAGTCCCCTGGGACGTGACTGTCACTGGGACACTGTGTGCAAAACCATTATGTGGACACTGTAAAAACTTTGCTTTGGTGCCGCATACATAAATGTGCTCTATTTGCTGCAGATACACCGACTCAAGCTGCGAAACAAAACATTAAACGCTTGCTCTCCTTCAAAGTGTGAGCACTCACAGCTGTGAGAAAGGCCTGATGTGTACCCGGTAACCTCGGAGCATAAGTCAGCAGTTTAAAAAAGCTTGCTCTAGTTTCAGCAGCTTTCTGAGCAGAAGTTCCCTTTTTCTCTCTCCCCCTCCCCCCTCCCCCTCCTCCCCTGCCTTTCTTCCTTGGCTTTGTTTTGGCACTGACGTCGAGGGAAGAGGAGGGGGAAGGAAGGCCGCAGATCAGACACAAATCATCCCGTGGTACTCTGCACGTGAGAACTGTCAGGTGATCGTGTCCCCGCAGACAGCAAATTCAATTTGAGATTTACTACTAAACCCTCACCTGAAGGGAAACTTCAGGCTGAATTGTTTGTGCAGCTTTAGCGAGTCTCTTTCTTGCAAAGTCAAATGCAGCTTTGACACAAGAAAAGAGGCACATTTAAAACATTAACTTCTTAGGAAGAAGCTTATTTGAATCCAGAAAACATATCCAATGAGTTTTGTGTCCATCCTGCATGAAAACCATGAGATTTGGACTCATGTTTTAAATTGATGGAAAAAAACCCTCTGAAACCAAACGTCTCACACTGTGCCGCTCTTCATGACCGGGATATCAAAGACTAATTTCCAACCCAGACAAATTGGAACATTTAATGTGATTCAGGAACACGTGGGCCCGGCGGTGCAAACTGTCTGCTCTCCGTCGTGGACACAACACTCGTGTGGTGCCACACTTTGCATGGCTGTTGCAGGCAATCTGATAAACATTGCGTGACAAGGGCTTGGCTTAGAAATAACAAAACGTGAGTGAGGGAGGGTCCTTACCCGGCTACAGGTCGACTCTGTGCTCTAAAAGTAAAATAGTGAGTGTGTCTTGTGGCAGGAGAGCTTGTGCTGCTGGGAGGGGCAAAGCTGCAAGGTTTATCCTGGTCCTGTCTTGTTGATGCATCACAAACTTGAGAGTTTTTTTTTTTTTTTTTTTTTCTTGGAAAGAGACGGGAGAAATGCACGACTCAAGATGAAGAGAATTTCATAAACTTGTTCAAAATGACACCTACACAGTTCAGATTTAGATGGAAAGATGTGCCAAAAATGTTGTTTTGGATTTTTTTGACTGTGGTTTTTGCAGAATTTTCACTTTTAAAAGTAACCAGCAACTCTTTGGATCTTTTGTATTATTAGTTGATTATTTAAACACTGTCAAATTATTTCTCTTACTTTAACGGCTGTTAGAAATAATATATATTTCAGATACTATATGATTGAAAAGGTTTATCTTTAGTGCAAGTTCAGAAAAGTAAGGTTTGCCTCCAGGTCACCATATTTGTCGAGGGGGCAGCTTATCTGCTTGTTGTTGAAGATGAAATAAAAACAGGAGGTGTTTCTTAAGGCTCGAGAGGCAAACAGTGCAGACACTGATGTTATTTTTATGTGGTAAAAGAAATGGTGGAAGTGCACATTTCTGCCTTCTGCATGCCAGGTAAAATATGTGGTGAGCATGCAGGTGGGGCCTGACATGAGCAAGTCAGTGAAAAGTTTTCTTGTGGGGGAAGGGGGGTTGTCAGGGAGTGTACATGGGGAACGCCTTGGTGTTTTTTTTTTCATTACAAGAGAGTGGGAGAGGGGGAAGAGGGGGAACTGGGGGGGGGGGGGGGGGGCTGCAAGATGGTTGCCCATTGGCTCAAGTTACCCTTTGGATGGTGTGTGTGGAGCACTGCCTAGTGCAGCTGAGCACACTGCACTCAAAGAAGCCCTTTTTCAACCCCAGAGAAAGTCATCCCCAAGCCTGGACTCTGTGTCTAAAAAAAAAAAAGAAGTAATTTCCCCCCCCCTCCCGTCTGCTGCAGACCCCCAGCTCCTTCCTGCCTGCTTCCCCTGGCGGCACTCCAAGTGCTTCATGTGGCTCGACTGGGGCAGGGGCAGGTTGAAGGTGGACCCCCGCCCCTGTCCTTAGAAGACACTTGTTTTCCAGTGGGACCTGGGTGTGTTGGTGTTGGCAGGGTGGAGCAGGGGTGGAGGGGTTTCATTGGATGGGGGGGGGGGGGGGGGGAATTGCCCCCTGGGAGAGGGGTAAATAAAAGAACGAGAGCACTTTCACACGCCCTTTTCTGGGAGCGCCTGTATGCACCTGTAGAGAGGTAGAGGTGTTCGAGGACACTTTTGCTAAAGTGTTTTTTTCTGGTGCATTTTTTACAGGTTAAATCAAATCTCAACAATTAAAAGATGCATATATCACTTGGAGTTTGGGAGTTTTTTTTGTTAAGTTTGCAAGACAGTCTTGATGCCCTGAGGGTGGTCACAGGCAGACCTCTAAATGAAACATAGGGGGCTGGTGAGGGGGTCTTACTCCACGGGAAAAACAGAGGCGACGCCCTTCCTGAAAAAGAAATAGGGAATGACAGAGTGTATTGTGTAGAGCAAGAGAGAGAGTGTACTTGCTGTGTCCTCCTGTGAGCCGGCCCTCGAGAGCTTCAATTCTCTGATTAGGTTGATTGTGGTCTCAGCGATGGCCAATGGAGACCTCGCATTGTTGGAGTTTGTTTACCGTTCAGACAGTTAGCCAAATGAACGGGAGAAAAAGGGGGGAAGGCGAGCTAAGAACAAAGAAACGGTTCATGGACCAGCTTGACTAATGGACGATTGAAAGGCCTTTATGAACGAATGTGAATGGACCAAGGACAGGCAGGGGTTGGAAATCGTCTGTTTAATTTTTTTTCTGAATCAAATCAGTCCTTTGACACCATTTACAGTATCCTCTCAAAGTCAGAGTTTGTCTTTGGCTTCTGTGTCTCTGAATTCGACGTCAGAGTTCTGCATCCAGCGAGCTGTTTACTCGTGGATCCAGGGTTGTTGGCCTGCAGGGCTTTGGCAGTGACGAAGGGTTTTCCAGGGACACAGTGTGCGTCTTAAGTTCAACCTTGAGTTCAAACTTCTCCAGGCTGTCGTTTTGGCCAATAATGATTTGAGCACCCGGTGACTGTGCGTCTCTGAACTCTTCCTCAGTCGGGTTTCCATTGTGTTACAGACAAGCAAAGATAAACAAAGATGATGCTCCACCAGACAGTTTTGTAATAATGAGGTCAGTGTGTTGCACTAAAGAACAATCCTCAAACATTAGTGGTAGTTGTTCCCGTCGCTGCAGTGCAAGTATGTTACTGTCAATTCAAACCCAAAGGTTACACAAGGAAGAACATCCTGAAGGGGGAGATAGTCTCTAAGATACGGCTCTTTGATTGTCACATGTAGATTAGCGGTAAAATTACTACACTTTAGGCGAAGAGATGTTAATGTTTAGCCGTAAGCATCAACTCACGCTGTTTGACTTTGATATAACATGTTTCACAAGCTCATATCATTATTATGAATGCTGAATGTGGATGTCTGCTGACTCGCCCCCCCCTCTGTGGCTTGTGTGTGTTTTCAGACGTGCCAAACTACGGCTGTACCTGGAGCAGCTGAAGAAGCTGGTGCCTTTAGGTCCCGACAGCACAAGACACACCACACTGAGCCTGCTGAAAAGGGCCAAGATGCACATCAAGGTACTCAAAATTGAGGATTGAGGAATTGCTGATTATTTTGCTATTGAATTTTTAGTTCAACATTTCTGACATTTAAAAGTCATGATGTCAAGACATCACCGTGGGCTCTGATATTGTAAATGATATGGCTTTCTGAATGGCTTTTTTCACCATGCATATTTTATCCCCCAACATAATTAAAATTTACATCAATGATAGATTGATTTTATCTGATTATGGTGTCATGCCCTAACACTATGCCCAGCCCAAAACAGGCTTACAACACCCCATTGTTAATACTAAGAGACCAAAAGTAGACAGAAAGGGGGAAAAAAAGGAGACAACTGAGTCAACAAAGTGGAATACACAGGACATTTTGTGGTTGATTTATGGATAGTGCTGTTGAACTTCTTCTTTTCCGGCTCATTAACTGTTGCAGTTTGCAAACACTCTGTAAGATATTCAAAGCATGAAACAGCTAGCGACAGAGAGACTCTCACACATCCGTGCCTGCAGATGACATGGCCACTTTAGAGGGTGAATAGATCACGTAAAATTGACTTTAGAACACATGCTGTGCTGATCGTGCTGTTTACCAGCAGCAACAGTGTGGTTTTGTGGAAAGTCCAGACGTATGCGAGTTTTAACCCTTCATTTCCTGTTTATCACGCACATCCTCTGTTCTCAAACAAACGCAGATGATTCTCGACAACTGTGTCATGTTTTCTCACATCATGAGGGAACACTTTGGGCAGATTCACCACTGAAAAAAATAAATGCAAACTGTAATCCCACATCCAGTGTTAAAAGAGGTTGTGTTAATACGCCTCTTAGAGTCACCTGGCCACTTCCTTATTGCATGCCAGGTGTTTTGTTAGTAATCCCTTTAAGTCTAAACTTGTGTTTGACAGGTAGCTTTTATTTTGTTGGGACTATTTTACCGTTGTTTCGCCTTCTCTTCTTCCATTTATAAACTTGTGCAACATTTAACGAGTGTCAAAAATAGTTTAAATGAGGTTCAATTTTGTGCTTCTTCTACAGAGTGCACAAAAGGTCACACGGTTTTTATATCTACTTTTCTGTTCCTTTACAGCCAGGTTTAGATTCCTGTTTCAATCAGGCTCAAAACCTATTAAGAAGGCCATAACGATAGACCATAGAGACATTTCCCATAACGACCTAAAGGGGGAGCTGTTTATTATGGCAGAAATAATAAAGGAGAGGATACAGTACAAACATCTATGGGTAAAATGGAGGGTGCAGATGGTGATGTTGGTTGCATCAAACATTATCACTGATTGATTGTTTTTGTCATATGTGTGTGTGTGTCTGTGCAGAAGCTGGAGGAGCAGGACAGGAAGGCTTTAAATGTGAAGGAGCAGCTACAGAGAGAGCACCGCTACCTCAAACGCCGCCTTGAGCAGCTCTCTGTGTCCGGATCGGTTGAACGCATTCGCACCGACAGCATGGGCTCCACCATCTCCACCGACTCTGAGCAAGGTACGCTGAAACCAGCAGCACTTTGGCCAATCTTTTTGTCCCAAACAAGGAATTTCTGGGAAGTTCAAAGTTCCCTTTCAGCCACTTACAAGTTCTCCTCAGTTTGCGATGGAAAGCTTGATTGTATCATGTGGACAGTGCCGGGCATTGTTGTGGCTCAGAGGTAATGTGACCAAGACAAAATGTAAATCAAATGTAGATCGCCTCCAAATTTAATGCAAAACAAAACCCATCAGGACGTGCCCAGGCCGAGGATGACACTCACATTCTGAAGCCTTATCTGTTTGCAAACATGTGCTCAACTCATCACTATTAGTGATTTCATCCTAAAAGAAACCCTCTCAGAGCTGTTTGCATTCCTGATGCTGATAAACTCTGAGCCTCACAGTGATCCAGGTGAAAAAAGCTGATCCAAGTTAAGTCCCAGTCCTGTTTGCAGTCAAAGGTTAACACCTCAGTTTGCTGAAAAGTGAATCTACTTTTTTCTCTTCGGCTACTGATGCTGGGAGATTTTTAAGTCGAGGGTCATAGGAGTGTCAAAATGACATAAACAACAAATATTTATCTGTCGTCTATGAGGTTCTTGGGGGCATTACCGATGCCTAATACTGCAACTTCCATTTGAATGCAGCTATGTTGAAACCCCAGCCTCATTACTTTATCATGTAACTGCCAGGAAGTGAGACAGTCAGCAGGATTTAAATTAGAACCTGACTAATTTTGGATTTTTGAGGCTTATACAGATTTTAGAGGAGAAATGTTTCAATTACAGATCGTGCAAAGAATGGGAATGAAAATATAACTTTTCTACATGAATTTCTGCATCATATATATATATATATATATATATATATATATATAAAAAATCATGCTAAGGCACTCAGAAGTCTGCTTCCCTGATTGTTTACGAAAGAAAATGTAACATCTTTGTTCATCAAGAAACACTTCCTCTGCACATCACTGCTGATCGGGTGTGATGCCTCGATATGCGCTGCAGAAAGTGCAGAAAGTATTGTGACGCATGAAGTTGGAGCGCACTCTGCTGGACCAAACACAATATTTACGTTTATATCTGTTACAGTACAGGCCAATATCAGCTATACTGGTCTGGCTCTGGGCTGAACTTATTGCTTACATTTACAACTTCATTGCAGGTTTTAACATTGCACCGTGTCAGAGATGTAGTCCATTTCACCACATGAATACATTATTTCATTTTATCTTTTACAATCTTTAAGCCGTTCTAAACACTTTCTCTGGCTTTGGAAAAAATGTGGGACGATCCGAGTTCTTCTCGAGCACAACCCCGAGCTTAAAGGTGCAATCTGTTGCTCGCCAGTCACAGACTCCTGTGCAGTGCCAGGTTAGGACAGTTACTAATCCAGGATGAGGTAAACACACATGCAGTTGTTTATCAATGAGTGGGGGATAAGCTGTGTGAGCACAAAGATCCGTCTGTTAGCCCAGAGTTAATGGCAGCCTAAATCCTGGTTTAATCCACAGACACAGCAGCACACTACCTAATAAATATTCCCCACGGTCTGATGCTAATAAACAGTTTCCCCCTCTCTTCTACTTTATTTCCAGCAGGACCGATTTAACCTTATGTATTTTCTTTCTGCGTGCAGAGGTGGACATAGAGGGCATTGAGTTCACTCCCCTGGAGGCGGACAGCGTGGACAGCATCAGCGACGGCGAGGAGGAGGACCACTACAGCCTGCAGAGCAGCTCCAGCGACACCAGCTACACAGCCACACATTCCCACAGACTGCAGCCGCACCACTGTTAAGACGCCGCACGGCCATCCTTCTACCAACCAGCGTACTTCCCCCATGCTTCCCAACTTTCCCCCTGACCATTTGCTCAAAGCTGAGGCCGCCTACTACCTAGAGACCAGTCTATAACAGGGGTACACCCTCAGCCTGTGTCTACTTCCCTGGTCCCAGCTTTCCAGGAAGCACACAGGGCAGAAATGCCACTCGAGCCTTCGTGACCCCACCCCCCACCCCACTGACCCTACCTCACCCTACTGTATCCTGCCTGAACCTGCCCCTCCTCACGCACCCTGCCTTCCCACTGCCCTCACAACCCCGACCTAGTGTTGCAGCAGGCTCAGAGAGAGCACAGCAGAATATGTGGTTTTTAAAGGGGACATTTGTGGTGTGGTGTTCAGCTTTGACCGGTTAATCAGGATTTGAAAAAAAGTGTTTTTAATAGTGTGTGTGTGTGTGTGTGTGTGCGAGAGAGAGAATGCCCCCTTTATGAGTGTTAAAGGGGGAAAAACTTCTAAAATAAGTTTCACTCTTAACCTTGAAAGATTTTTAACATCATACAGTATCTTCCCTCTACGCCGTAAGATTCACACAGTGTGACCCTGAAGATGTTCCCTCAAATGTTCAACTGCAGAAAAATGACATGAATTAGAGGAACAGTTAAACATTTAGAGGGAAATATTCATCCACCTGTGTGCTATAAGGGAAATATCTGCGTGTTCGATATGAAGCCGGAGCTAGCAGCTGCTAGCTTAGTTTGGTACAAAGCTACAGTATATACAAAAGGATGCAGCTAGCCTTTTGGTGCTCAAAGTTTTGAAACAAATATTCCCATCAGCACTTAGCCAACACGTATTATGTCATTTTTAATTTATCTGTATAAAAAAACGATGTTTTTGTTTAGTGATTGTTTAAACAGGGTACTGAAGTCACATCTTAAAACCCTTAAAAAAAACAACGACTTAACAACTTGTATTTTCTTTAACTTAAAGGACTAAATGTGTGTTTTCTTTTTCTGAATGACTTTAGGTGCTTTACAGAGACTGACGAGCTGATTTTAACTGTTGGGACAGAGACAGGCTAGCTGTCATCACCATTTCTAGCCTTTATGCTACGCTAAGCTATTGACTGCTGGCTCTGGCTTTATTTTTTTGCAAAAGATAAGACAGCAAGAAAATTTGTTTCATCCAATTTCCCAAAATATAAAGTTGTTAATTCACTATTTTTAAAAGTGTGTGAAAAGAAACTTCTCTACCAAGTCTGATAGTTCGCTGATTGTGGGCCAAAAACAAACAGAAAACGTTACAGAGCTGTAGCAGAGATTATATGTATATAGATGTACAGTTACTGTCCAAACCCTCATGTCTCCCGCTGGTTGGGTTGCCTAACCACTACTCCACACTACTGACCACTACACTATAGCCACTCATGGTGTGGATGGACTACTATGAGAGATCAAAACAATTTTAATTGCCTCAGAATTAAAAAAAAAAAAAAACTCTATTCCTCAAAGAGTGATGAAAATCTTGTGTTTTCCTCCTCAGTAGCAATTGATGTAGCAATAAACACGAGAGGTGCTTCCTCTTCGTGTTTAAATGATTCTGGTGGACCAAGAGGTGTCTGGGGAGACTTTTACATTGTTACCCTGATGATGGCAACTGGGTGCTTAAAAAGAGAGATGGACGTGCAGAGAGAAAGGGGAGATTTCTCCTTTTTCTTTTCACTAATGCACCCTCCTCTTTGCTCGCGCCATTTACCAAGAATTCACGTTTCTCTACAGCTCTGTTACTTTTCTTTTTAAAGAGGTGTTGAATGATGTGTGTCTGTGTTTCTCTTCAGTCCTGATTAACAAGTCAAAGCACATGTGGGGAATAATATTAAAAGAAAAAAACAACAAAAAAAAAAACCAGCCAGCTCTAATGATTTGCTCTCTTTAGGGGTGTTTAGCTAACCCTAGCAAACTAATCACTTTCAGATTAATGTTTAGTTTCTTTAACAAGGCTCATCTAATTTGGGCTCTGCAGCCTTGCTTTCTTCCTGGTGCTTCTGGGTACAGCTGAAGACTAATGTAGTTTAATGTGTTCTTTCACTTGTCTGTAATTTATGCACAATAGTCACTATTGACGGAGGAGGCGCTCCTGTCGCTCTCTGACCTTTTTAATAATCATCAGACCTTAGTCTGTGGCAGTCTTTAGAGCTTGGCGTCCCAACACTTATCAAAAACTAAGGCCAGTCCACGATGGCGGGTCAGACCAAAAAAAACAAAAAAACAATGAAAAAAAAGCATGAAAAAGTTGCATACAGAAAAAAGCTACTTGTCACTTCAGTGATATTAGCCAGTGTAGTCTATATTTCTTGTATTAAATTTTGTATTATATTTTCCTAAATGTTCTCTTGTAATGAAAAGACAAAAAAGAGTGATTATCTATCTATATATACATATAAATATATTATATATATATAAATATGAAAGACAGACTGATGTGAGGCCAGGCTTGTTTAAGAGAGAGTGGGGGCAGGGGAGCTAATACACTGGCCCCTCTCCCATGGGTGACTCTCTTTGCTGTCATTCTGTGCCTTGGTGAGCCTTCGACCTCCATCCTCTCCTCCTCCTCCTCCTCGTCCCTACTCAGGTCACACTCCTCTCCTCCTGTTAATCCCATCCTCCCTCCTCTTGTCCTCTGGCGGGGTTTAAGCCAAAACACTTCCATAAGCAAAGGGGGATCTGAAGACCTCAACGGACATCATTTAAAAAAAAAAAAAAAGCCTATTTGGTCCTTACTGAACATCCACTGTTGTTGTACACCCTCACCCATGGCACTCCCCGCCCTCTTGACACCTCCCTCCCCCCCCCCATCTGCCAGTGCCGCCTCTGTCACAGCAAAATTGTACAAAAAAAACAAAAAAAAACAAGAACACACACTGGTAAACTCCCATGGCAGCTTCCAGTCGCCCCGAATGGTTACCAACGGGGCTGAAAATCTTCTGGGCTTGAAGCGTGTTAATCTTGTTTTGTTAATTTAGTGATTTTTCTTTTATTGTACGTCTACTTTGTGTTTGTTCAATGGGAGTCACTGGGACAGGAGCGATAAAAGAATAATCCAATCAATGGCAGCTTAAGGTGTTATCCTCCACGCTCCCGGTGGTCCGTCCCTAATAAAAATAGTGTTACCCATTGATCAGGGGACCTCTTGAGACACAGCAATATTACCATCTTGTGCTTTCCGAGGGAGTGGGGTGGGGGTGGGTGGGAGGGGTTAAGACAAAGCAGGTGGTCTTTTGCTTTTGACTCTGTGGTGCATTTTTTTTTTTTTTTTGGTGACCAACTCTATATTCTGTTTGGATGAATTTGACCTCCTATCTGCACTCTCTCCAAACACTGCAGGAGGGCAAAACAAACTAACAAGAATTTCTTCAATTTTGTTTTTGTCCTTGAGTTTACATTCATGTCAAGAAGATTTGTACATGACTGTTTGTAGCAACAACAAAAAAGAAAAGTCCTTTCTCAATGAGTTGGTCAAATGAACAACTTGGGTAAATCACATTGTTGGCATAGAGTGATTCTCTTGCACAGAACCTCCCAGCAGAGAAGAGACTGAGTGAATGAGACGAGCTGAGGGCCAGATATGAGATTATAATGTTTCAGTGGCATCATTGAAAAACATACATAGCACACAGAAAGAGTGACTTATGAGGAGCTGGATGTGGAAACATGTAGTTTGAATGCTGGCAGGATGGTGTTTATGGAAATACTTTTAATGATGTGCCTTGGACAAAGTTTTTTTTTTTTTCAAAAAAGAAGCAGAGATTGTACCAATTAGTGAGGACTGTTGTGGTTTGTATTTGTACAAGAGGGAGGCAGCTGAAGATGTTACCGCCTACTCCATCTTTGCAAAAAAAAAAAAGAAGAAAGGTAAACATGTCAAAAAAGCTGAACGAGCTCTTCATTGAACTAAGATCAAAGCGTCATTTAAGAGTCATCAGAGAGACGGGGCTCAGATTAAACGGATGGGGGGGGGGGTTGACTTCAGAGCAAGCACAGACAAGGTCTGATATGTGCTTTCATGTTGCTGTTGCACAGAGATTTACTCCAATGTGTTGGTTTTTAAAAGAGCACAAAAGCATGGTGTGGTGTTTGGGGAAAGTCAGCAGGCAGAGATGGAGAAGGAAAGGGTGGGTGACGGGTTAAATATCAGGGTGCAGCAGCGACTGAGGGCCCCTCTGGATCAAGTCTGAGCACACAGATGAAACTCAACGACATCATCTTCTGCCTGCTGGGTAACGATGCTTATAAAAATCTACATGAGGACTTCCATGAAATTTTATTCCTGCCAAATATGTAGTCACTTTTAAACCTTCCATGCTGAATGATTAGGTCCTTTATGTGATTCCAGATGAATAGCTTTAACATTTTGTAGGCTTTAGGTCAGCAACCCGCTTTCCACAGCCCCAGCCTATATGGTTTTTTTTTTTTCCCTCCTTGTTTTGTGTTTTTCTTTTGTATCATTTGACACTCTAACGTCAGATATGGGTGTCACATTGTTATCCTTTGATTCTAGAGGCTGCAGAGGAGGGTGAAGCTGGCCAGGATTTAGTGTTTGAGAGGCGGATGGTGGGGGAGGGGGGGGGGGTCTTTGTCTGGGCTGACATACTGTGCAGAGTAGGGAGAGTTCTGTGCCAGAGACCTGTGAATATGTTCCTTTTTAGCGGACGTGTAATATGCATTCAGAAGATGTTATATAAGTTCCTTTTATTTCTTTGTTTTGTGCGTGTGAGTGTGCGACACGAGTACCTGGTGCTGGCTATATTTGAGCAAACACTTGAAGGTATTGTGTATTCTCTCATTGTAATATAATTAAAAAAAGGTTTTATACATAAAGTTGATGGAGTCCCTTCATTGCCTGTTGAGAAACACTGTGTGCACGTGAACGCTCCAGAGCACAGTGACAACATTTAGAGCACAACGCGGCAGGAACATGCGGATGAATGTGTTCAGATGTCACAGGGCTTCCTGTTTGACGTGTGCAGAGCTGAAACTGATCTGTAGTGTAGGATTATCGCTTTTAAATGTCAGAGGTCATCCTTTGTCCATGATGCAGCAGAGAAACATTTACTGACGAAATGCAGAAAAAGGGCAGCATTTAACAAATTAATTTATCTTTTATTAAAGCTCCATTTCAACACACACAACAACAAAATGGACTTGAACTCAAAGCCTGAGTTGAAAATGTTTTTAAGTTACAAAACATGTTCAACTATTTCATGAGAAGTCCAATCATTTTTTTTTTTAAACATGCTACTATTACCTTATTAAAATAAATATACATATAATGAGTACTAAAAGTGTGTAATAGTAAATCATTATTAAAAAAAACCAACATGATATTAAATATTCTAGAACTATTATTCAAGTCATTCAGAAAACTAGTCCAGACATAATGTTCAGAAGGAATGCAATCAGTGACATGTTCATTTTGATGTCATCTTTATCACAGCTTCAGCTTCATATCAGCAGGCAGGGTGAACTGTTTTTCACTAATGCACCATAGCAAGCGTCTTACTATTACTCATCACAGTCAGAGCACGGATGTGAAAACAAAACTTCATTTTGACTTATTTTGATATAAGTCACTTTGGTTTGTTGAGATCATCAACATGTCACTACAGGCTGTGCTGTAAATGACAGCATTTATGTTACAGTTTCTATCTTTGTGCGCATTATTACAGAGCAGACTGTGTGTCGACACTGGCAACACATTTTAGTACAGTCTCCAACACAGAAAATGTCAACCAAGAAAGACATCGTGATGAAAAGGGCAGTATTCAATAAAGTTCACTGTTTAAATCCATGCGTGCACATGAAACCATTTCATTCTAACCCATGTCCTGTGCTGCTTGAAGCAACATTATGCAACTGTTCTGACATAAAAAAAAAAAATCCAGCTTTAAATATGAAATGCTCCTCCATTATTCAAACTAGAGCCTGACCGATTAATCGGCCAGCCGATAATATAGGCCGATATTAACATATCCAGTGACTTTCGGTATCGACTAGATTTATCGCAGATATCACTAGATTTATTCACCGATCAAAAAGTGTTTCATTTTAGTTTCATTGTATTACACTAGCAGTTCTCTTTCACCAGTAAAGGGCGCTATATGGATTACAACAAGTATTATCTACTACTTTCCAGAGTGTCAAGCTGTGAACAAGTGTTTGATAACTGCATTTTAAGGGATCAACGCAATAAATGTGTAAATCTAGATTTATCTCTACAGCTCGAACATAGATCTAAGAAAGATATCAGCCGATATATCAGTATCTGATTTTTTTTATCTTTCCAATATCGATATCCGTATTGACCCCAAAAATCTAATTCTAAGCCCTAATTCAAATGCCTATGCTTCCACTCTGCGACTTTGGCTCAGCGGGTATGGTGCATGCAATTGGTACAAAAAGCATCACAGCAGCGAGGCTGTCTGGCACAGAGCTTTGAAGACTAACAAGGACAACATGACTGTAATAGGAAAGATGGAAGAGGACTTTGATATAGAGAACGGACCAGTGAGACGGCGGACGAGAGTGAATCTCCGACTGGCTTTTACCTGCTGCAGACTAAACTTTAGGAGCTAAAAATCGTAAAAATGTCTGTTCTTGCATAATGTTGCTTAACTTGAAAGTTCACCAACAGTCACAGCTCAACGATGGTCATGATGTGGCCTTTTATCTGGATCAACATGCAAGGCCTTATTATATAGTTACTTCATAATGCTGAGTAATGTCAGAGAAAGTTTTTGCACTTTTCAAGAATTATATAATTTTACAAGATAATCAGTTTACTTTAAGACAGTAGAAAGATGAGTTAAATATTGCAATATGCAAAATATATGCACTAACACCTGACATAATTCCAGCATTAAAGGATGCTGCTGGTCAAATTCTGAACGTTTCCTCAAAACAATAAAACTCATACAGAGACAAAAGGACCTGAGACTTCATGAGAGCTCAAAGAGAAGACAGAAATCTGAGAAGAGGTGAAAAAGATTAAAGACTTCCAGCAGAGAACAAAAGAAAGTCAATCAGGAAAAAAAAAATAGAAGAAAAAACAAACAAAGTTGATAAGAGCATAAACAGCAATCAGCGTGATCCCAGAAAAACTTCAGCCAAGTCCAACTGATTGATATGATCAGAAAGGCATTTTGTTGAGTTCATGTCACCTGCACAGTCTTTCATTCTCAGTCCAGTCAGATGTACTGCTGGGGTTTCTGTGGGGCTGCAGCAGCTGAAGCCAGGCTCTTTGCCGCGTCCTTCACTGAGTCCCTGAGTGGCCGCTGAGGCGCCTCTCCTGTGAGCCCACAGAGTGACCAAGAAAAAAGAAAGATTACAACAAAGACGACAACCATGATGATCAAAAAATGTTACTTTCTAACAAGGAGTAAGTAGTAACACAAGAGCAAGAGGAAGCAGCATTTTGCTGAGACATTGTCGAGTCTGTGACATGAAATCAAACAACAAAGATGTTGTCTGTGGGCTTCATTAATCTACATTGTGAGCTGGAAATCTGTTATCTTATATTACAACCAGTTTCATCACGTTTTTGAAATTCTGCACCGACGAGCTGGAACTTCTTGGAGACAGTATATAACCGTGGTTGCATATGGACAGCTATTTTTATATATTTTGCCCTGGTGGTGCAGGGGGGATTTTTTTTTAGATCGACGTTGACCATCACAAATTGTTAATTTGGCTCATTTATAGTTTCTAAGGATTTTGAAAAAATATTTTTACTTTTTATTTTTTTTTAAATATTCTTGCTTACGGAAAGGAAATAATGTGAGATATTGATTGATTTGTATGAGAGGTGCTCTAGAAAAATAAAGCTTGATTGATTGATTGTTTTGAAGCTAACGGTAATCCATTCATTATTCATTTTGTCAATGTGTGTTATATAAAGACAGATGAGTCTTCTTTCTCATGGAGCCAGGAAGTGGACCCTCATGTACCAAAATTCATGATGATTCTTTGACTGTGTACTTTGGCTTGAATCATAAAACGTATCCTCTCCCATCAAACCCTCTTCACTCATATGTTGGGATGTCATAGGTAATTTTTGCATTAAGTTTACAATGCAGGCAAAAAGTGGAGACAATAAATGTAAGAAGCTTTAATAGCTTAACCAACGACAACAAATGAGGACAATGGTGCAGGACAAACTGTGTTTGAAGCTACACCAAACTACGTCCACAGACACAGAGGACATCTGCAGGCTTTCTTCAATAAAAAGCTAACTGAGACAGACAGAGCCCAGGTTGAAAATCTGCAGTTTCACTTTAAGTCTGAGTATTTCACCTTGTTCTGCCGCTCGCTGCCTGTGCTTTACTCTGACAGCATTCAAGTAGAAAAGGGTTCATGTGGAAAGTGTTACACAAAAAGGAGAAAAAACTTTAAACCACTTTTGATGCTTTTGTTTTTTTTTTACAAAAGAGCACATGTTTTATGAGAGGGTCTTGTGGTAAGCACACCCATCTTTGATCGCTGTTATGAACTGCCTCACAATGGATTCACAGTCTACTTGTGTCTGACCTGACTGTGAACCTGCAAACCTGAAGTACCTCACGTGAAAACAACAACCAGGAATCACAACACAGCTTCCCTAAACTTTGAGAGAGATGGAAAGAGGGCAGAGGCGACACCTTGATTCACAAACCTCTTCATGTCTGCATACTGATAGTAATGGCAGGTAGAGGAGTCAAAAGCCACCACGTGTGTTAGATTCATTCACAGTTGTTTTTACTGTGTATAAACTTTCAAATGTCATCTACTTAAAACTGTGTTAATTGTGCAATTATGCCCCCCCCAACATTTATGTTTGTTGTGAGATGACGTAAGCCCTAACTTCAGTCTAAAAGGCAGAGAAGTTCAGCGCAGGCAGCAGAATTAACTTTATATCTGATTTAGTTCAGTGTTTTCTCATTTTAAGACAAATCCCACCGAAGAGTCAGAGCTTCCCTAGTTTGTTAAAAGAAAGAAACCAAGTTACGTTTCACATAAATATGTCAAAGACAAAGTCAAAACATTCCAATCTTAAACTCATTCATCTGTGAAAGAAGAGCAAAACATTTTGCCTGTGGGATGAACACGAGTTGAAGTTTGTATCCTTTGAGTTTGAGACTAAGTTGAGCTCCTAATTCAAAGGATGACGTGTCAAGTGTTCTGATTTGGATTCTGTCAAATTTTGGATACATCACAGTAACTTCAAATAAACAACTGTGATCCAGAGTACCAGCTTCTCTGAAAACTTCTGTGAACTTATTTCATGGTTTTGCATCAGCCTTGACTTGAGGCCTTCCCCAGGAGTTGATGGTAGCAGTAATTAACTGTCATGGCTGCAGAGCTAAATGTTGTAAATACTGTATGAGATGAGTGCTGTGTCTGACGGTTCATCTGATCTATGAAGACGGACATTTTTTAAAAGCACAAACTTCAGATCAGCATGCTGATGAGCTGACAGAACACGTACACAGATACAAGTGCTTTGAAAACCATCAGAGCTTCACATAAATCTGTCACACACGTGACACCATCCCCCCTAACGTTTATCAGAGTCCCTTAACTCATCAGAAAAGACTGTAGAGTGTAAAACATGATGGTTGAAACAACTAATGGATACGAGCTCTCACATTTTAAAGCAAATAAGGAAACACACCCTTCCACATCACCTACCAATGACTATTTTGCTGTGCAATGGCAAAACCAAGCAGGAGGCAGCATTTTTAAATTCAACAAGGGAGGTCTCAACTGTGATTTAAAGGAGGTGTTCACATATCCAACTATCTCATGAAGTAGGTGCATAGGACATCACATTGGGCCAAAAAAAACAACATGTTTTGGTCCCTCTGAACCTTTGTCAAGTGGAACACACATGACAAAGGTTCAGAGGGACTGAAATGTTGTGATTTCTTCTAATAAATTGGTGATGTAGAGTAAAAGTGGTGTGCTGGATTTTTCTTTTCACTGCCTCAACTGTGGAACAAAATGTCTGAGCCAATGTAAAAGCATAGTGTGACCTTTCATTTTTAATAAAAGTGGAAATAGATACCGAAACATGTTAAGATTTAAAAAAAAATCAGCTATAATGTTAAGAGATAAAAAGTTGTGTTTTATTAAATTTAAAAAACAATAACAAGCCATTTCCCTGACTGCAGGTTGGTTGTAATATGACTCTATTACAGCTTTCACACTTGCAGAAAACTCCTGAAAAACCCCTTATATTTACAGGAGGAGCTGTATGTGTGAATGCAAACAGCCGAATGTTTCACTCAGACTTCACCCGGAGTTTCTCCTGCCAGCCTAGTATTCTTTCCGCTGCGAGTTTGAGTAAACACAGCGGGATATTCTCCGGAGAATTCACCTCGAGCCAATGGGAGGGGGAGTGACGTTTATATACTGTGACTGATGCATAGCGTCTGCAAGCGACCACTACGATCTCCGTGCAAGGAATTACACGGCTGCATTAAGCTTTCTGTTCGTCATGTTGTTCTCCACTCCTTTGTGGATGTTGTCATTCCATTGGACTGCACATAGCATTGATATAAAGGCAAATATTCTCTTTATAGCGTTATATGGCGGACTCTGTTGCTTTGCCCTGTACTTCAACGTTGTTGTTTTTTTTTTTTAACGTCAGGTCTTACCCCAGGAGACCCCACCCCAGTCTGACAGGGATAGTCTCCCGCTGTGAGGACCATACATATATGTGAACAGCCAGGTCAGGAGAACATCTGGAGCAGTCCTCATGAAATGATCTCGATAATTTCAGGAGTGCAAATGTGAAAACGGCATATGGGCTAGTTAATCTGCATATTAGCCATCACTTATGAAAAAGTTAATCATTTCATGAATTTGAGAAAAATACTGCTGGCACTAATAATCCTCTAATGAAAAGGTCATGACTAGGATTCAAGTTTTCTCTCAAACAAAATTCAAACAAGGGTCAGCTAAACTATTAACTAAATACCATCTACTTTTATACTAATGCTTGAGTTTCAGTAACCTTTTTCTGAAGACAAATGCAGTGTCTACTTTCACGCACAACAACACAGAAGGGGTGATAGCCACTACCTCACTACCTTAACTACATCATCTACTAAGTGATCATCATATCGAGAACTATGTGACCACCCTGGGATGACACATTAATGTCCCACTGCTAACATACTCACCACAACGCTCAGCCTGATGCCAATCCCTTCAGTGGCATTGATAAAGGGGCAGTGGGACAGAATCACAACAATAGGAGAACGCCGCGGTCAACAGGACGCCGCATCAGCACAACACACAGACCTCGTCCGTGCCAAACAAGTCATCGCTACTTTGATCCTATGGAGAGACTTCACCTCGCAGAGGGTTTAAACAGGCTTTTTAGACTTCAGTGATTTGTGTTGCAGTGATTTGGTTTATTCTGAAGACGAAATGAGGATTCCTGCATGACAAACTCGACTGAAGGCGTTTTTAACAACAACAAAAAAGCACAACCTTTACTTCTTCCAGCTACTGAAATGGTAACATTTTTTTTTTCAAATGTGTCCTCTACTTAAGCTTTGGAAAGTCATGGTACTCCTAATTACTGTGTGACGTTTAAAGGACCAAACAATGTATCCATACATTTTAAGAACAGAACTAGGATCTCTACGTAAGATTGATGACACATTTTTGCTGATGTTCTAGAAATATTTGTCACTGGATGCCCATATTTTACGGATCACGCCTCTGAGTAGCTTGAGATCTTTGTTTTATATTTAATGTATCAGGCTATTTGCTGTTGCTCTATTTGGCTCATAATGGATAGAAACTTTGAGGTTCCCTGTAAACACGAGGTGCTCTGTAATTCTTTATTAATGACTGAATACAAGGACTGCCTTGGTCAGCGCGGAAATACTGTATAGCTACCAAGCTGTTTGTCACCATTGTTGCCATGGTTTCACATCCATCTTCATCTTCAGTACTTTTGTGCATCAAAGAAAATCTAGGACAGACATCTAACAGAGCATTTTCTGGCAAAGAGGAGAAGCTTGACTGAGAAAACTCACTCCAGTCAACTTTGCAAATATTTTCTATTTTTTTTTTGTTAAAGGGATAAGAATCAAAACTTTAATTGTGCTCACTATATAGTGCAAAACACAACACAGCTCGGACTGCATGGATGGATGGAAAATGAATCATCCTGGGGTAAAATGAATGTACTGCTGCTAAATCCATGTGCCATGAAAAGAAGCCAGGGTTCAAAAAGTGTGTGTAGGAGCCATGTAGATCTGCTGAACAACTAGGAAGATAATTCAGCCTTTTTTTTAAATATTGTTATTGCAGCTGGCGTCTACAATCAGTAATTTAGCTTCAGTAACGTAATCTCACAGCCTGCTGTAGCTGTATGTTAGCCAAACACACTCCAACATACAGCGCTGTGTTCGGCCCAAAATACAAAACAAAAGCAAAAGATACAGTCCCTCAATGTCGATCTCCATCTGTTGTTTAGTCTAACTCACACAACAGGTATGCTACAGGAGCTCTAAAGATACACACCCGTCCATGAACTGTGTGTCTATGTTACATGTTCAACATTGTCAAAGCTCATATGTTTCTGCAGATTACAGCAAACATGCTATTCACAGAAAGGAAAGACTTCTGCTTTGTGTTTGTCATGTTGATGTTCTTGGTTGGCAGACAGATTTCCGTCTCATAAATGTTTCCTATTTCCTCATTCGGTAACATTTTAAAAACAAACAGTTGTTTCCATTTTTCTTCTCCTGCACTTTTCTCCGGCTCCTGCTGGGGAAGTGTACGTACCCTGTAAGTTGGAGAGTGCGTATTCCAACCCTTTCATGGACTTCACCTGGTTGCTTTTGAGGCGAGCCAATCCGAACTCCTGCGAAAAGACAAAACAGGAAATGGCTTTACATGGAGAGGAGACGCCTGAACTGAGCAAACAGCACTCTCTCTCTCTCTCTCTCTCTATTCTCTGGGGATATTAAAGCAAGCCTGGCATCTTCCAACACATCTAATAATAACAATTCTAGGTTGTCCCCCCCCCCCCCCAAATCTCTAACTTCTTTATTTTGGCGTTTGCACACAGACTCCCACGCCACAGCTGCTTATACTATGACCAACAAAATCAAAGCGAGGCCTGAAATATAGGATCTTGGATGTTATCATACAAGATAAAGAAATATGACTACTTATGTTAAAGCAGGAAAAACATTTATACACTTTAGGCAAGAGTTTAACACGGAATTATAAATAAATCTAAGTCAAGTCCATTTTTTTTATAAAGCACATTAAAAAAAACAACTTGTGCTGGCCAAAGTGCTGTACAACCAAGGCAGGGTGTAAAACTGAAATAAAATCACAATAAAAGCTCAAGAGCACCCACATAAACAATAATACACACGTAATATAATAATAATTAAATAATAATTAACTATTACACCTCTATACTGTGGATCAATTCTTATCTGACTTATTGAGAAAACAATGATATAAATGATACAAACACGACATTAGAGTAGTTTGAAACATGGACTTTAGCTGTTTAAAGAGGGTTAAAGCACCTGAATAGGTCTGGAGAAGCCATAAACACTCGAAGATATCCACGCTTCACGTTTCAGCTGGGTGGTGGCCGGCTGCTCCACTGTGTCTTGGAAAACACAACGCTCTTCAACAGACTGAAATGAAAGAGAGCAAAGTGACAGCGGGGTCAATATGGAGGTCAAAGCTGTGGTTGATCAGGAACAGACATAAACAAACCACATAAATCTCTTGTTATGTAGAGTTCTAACACGTGCTTAGAGCTGACACATTAAAATAAACCACTTTATTTGAGCTTTGGCCGAAATAGAATTTTAGTGTCCCCTTCATTTGTGAGGTTAAAACGTCTGTGAGGGAGCCGGGTAAGAAACAGGCTAAAATACTGATGCATATTTATGGCATACAAAAGCAAACAAGACCATCAGGTAGAACAGAGATCATTTCTAGATCATCGTTTTATATGCCTGTCAAGCCTACTGCAAGATTAGCTTCAGACGATTAATCAACAGGCTGAGGCGATCAACTGCACACTTCAGATCCAGACTCTTTATAGGGATCTTTTTTGTACACACTCCTTACACGTATACTGAACAAAATCAGCAAAGAGATGAATTGTCTGGCTTTGTCCACAAGGGGGAACAGAAACCTCTGTAATTGGCTAGAATTATATTCAGAAGTTCAGTCAATTAGAGGTGGGCAAATTTGGGAATTTTGCAATTTGATGTGGACTTCTGTGGTCATGATAACATCCTAAGACAATCTTAATTGTACATTTATAATAATAATTAATGCATTTATCTTTTTTATGTATATTTTTCCCCCATGGATCAAAAAGTCAAAAGAGGCAGCAGCTTCAATGTTACCTTCACTTTTCTAAATTTAATACACCGTATCCTCAAATGCTCTAGCTGGAAATATTTGTTGATACCTTGCTAAATCAATTTCTGTGAACACAAGCAGCTCATTCGCCAAGTTTCCTGTTGTTTAAAATGTACAGTAGATTAAAAACATAACTCCACCCTACATTTCCATGTCGGAGAATTAAGAGTGTGAAGAAGCAGACCTAAGAGCTACATAATGTACAAGTCATGACAAGGTCCTCCTCTCCGGGGTGATTATTACATGTGAACTGTGTTCAAAGGCTCTCATCCTTTGAACATCACACTGGCTGAATGAATATGTCCTCCTCCTTTCTCGAGTTAGCAGCTATAGAACATATGAGTGCACACGCACAGTGCAGTCATGGCAGTGGAGTCCAGTCTCCTCCTCTCTGCCAACACAACATGCAGTACAAAGGAAGCACAAAATCAACAAGAACTGACATTACTTGATTTTGTGAACTGACTGTAATGGAACAGTCATGTCAGAAGAACAGAGTTCTCTCCCATTTTACTGACGTTCACTTTACATTCAGATTTCTTCATTTTCCATTAAGAAATACATTAAACCACAGGAGAGCAGTAAAAACAAGAGCTCAAGAACCAGAACAAGTAATTACATTGACCACTTGGGGGCAGCAGAAATACATTTCCAATCCAACACAGTGCAAGCCTTTAAAGATAACTTTTCAAACAACAGTTGGTTATCAACTGTTACACTCAAGAACAAATACACATCACTTCAGGAGGGCGACTGCGATATTCCTCTAAGGAAGTGTGCTTTTAGTCAGTCAGCCTTTTCTGTTTCAGCCTCACGCGAATGGAACAACATCCCAACATTTATCAGAGAGCGCAACACATACCGGTCATTTAGATCACATCTGAAACACTGGCTAATTAATAACCTCATCTGTCAGCACTGAACCTGTTGCACCCGCTGCTGCCACCTCGTGTCTGGTTGTTGGTGAACTTCAGGTATAGCTCACTCAAAGTTTTGTATGTGGCCTCATGTCACGCGAGTGAAGTAAGTCAGTTCTGTTGGCTCAGTACACAAGAGTCACACCACTCTAGCACTTTTCAACAACTTAAAGACACTTCACCATGAGAGTTGTGTGGTTGAGGTTCCAGGTGTAGGTGGTCAGGCTCCTGTTGACAGGGTCCACAATGGAGTCCTCTATGATGTACACGGAGCGAGATATGCCGGAGGGAAAGATATGCTCCGCCCAGCGAGGCAGTCGATTGGTCTTCATCAGGAGACGTCTGGAGAGGAGCCGGTTGTCTGCAGTCACCTCCCGGTAGACCACATCCTCTGTGAGAACATGGGTGCTGATCGATACCACACACACACACACACACACACACACACACACACACACACACACACACACACACACACACACACACACACACACACACACACACACACACACACACACACACACACACACACACACACACACACACACACACACACACACACACACACACCACACACACACACACACACACACACACACACACACACACACACACACACACACACACACACACACACATGTCAGCAACAAGGATTCGGGGTTACTGGTGTAGGTTAGGATATTTTCTTTCATCTAAAACAAAGGTCAGGTGCTGATGTATTGATTGTAAGTCCTCCAAGTGTTCATGTGTTGTTTTCAATAAAGAATTGAAAAGGTCTAAGCAAACCTTTCACTTCCTGGTTTCATATCAGTTTGTAAATAATTTCAGTACTGTTTCAAACCTGAACGGTTTCACTCCATCAGTTAAATTACTTTGTGTAATTTCTGAGTCATGTACATAGTTTTTGTTCAAATACCACTGTGATGTTTGTGAAAATCTATGGAGCAAAGATCACAAGTATAAGTATATTATTTAATTTAAATTATCATCTACTCACACTTTTTAATGTAAATGCTGTAAAGACTACCTCATTCTTACTTCAGCATCTTTTGCATTACTCACCACTGTATTATCTTATTTAGCCTTGAAGATATTAGTCTTTGCTTATTTGTTTATTCTTGTGTTTATATTTGATATTTAGTGTTATATCTTTGTACAAAGAGAACACAGTTTGCCAAAGGAAAATTCCTTGTGTGTTTAAGCATACCTGGCCAATAAAGCTGATTCTGATCTCTAAGATGTCAGCATCAACTATCAGATTGCACACACAGCCACTGATATGCTGAAAGTATTATTATAAAAATGAACTAAAACTGATCTGATGTGTCAACTCTTTATATTGTAGTTAAAATAAAGTTGGTTGCCTGGGTCATGTACGGTGTTAAAGATTCACATTGTCGTCTTGTTTTCACCTTGTTCTTGTCACTCACATCTGTTCACAGTGGAGTGTAGGTTGATTATGAAATCTTTTTAAAATAGCACTAAACCCTGGATTTACTTTCAACACCAACTAAATGTTTGAGAAAGAGCATTCATAAAATCTAAAGTGTAAAGATTATCATACCTGAATGGGTTTGGATACCTCTGCCAAAAAGCAGAGACAACGAGGTCCCACGTACTCCTGACGTCTGTGTTATTACAGAAATACTTGACCATTCTTCTCTCGCTTATCTACAGCACTGCATAAATCCCGAACCCTGGGGTTCCTTGCTGTGATGACATGAGTCAGTGAAAACTTAGATACTGACTCCATCCAAAGTCTGGCACAGTCCTGCAAATGATAAAGCAGACTTTTAGAAAGCTCATTCATCAGTACGAGGAAATAAGAGGTTACATGTAATATACTCTTTAAAAAATGATGGATAAAGTTTCACTCTGTGAGATAATATGTACATGTGATCAATATAATATAGAAGTAGAGCACACATCACACCTGTTTAAAATCTTTACACTGGCTGACTGTTAGTTTTTGTGTTGATTTTAAAATTATTTTATTGGTCTATAAAGCATTACATGGCCTTGCACCAGACTACCTATCAGATATGCTTTTAGTTTATGAACCAGTACGGTCCCTCAGATCCACCAGTTCCTCTCTCTTAGTTGTTCCACAGAGCAGGACAAAAACCTTTGGTGATGCTGCTTTCAGCTGTTACGCTCCGAGACTGTGGAACAACCTTCCTGAGGGTCTGAGAGGAACCCAGAATATCGAGATTTTTTAAACGCAGTCTTAAAACTCATTTATTCAGTCTGGCTTTTATATAGTGCTTTATATCAATTCAAATCTTAACATTACTGTATTGTCTTTTTTATCCTACTACAATTTTAAATATTTTCCTCTTATGTATTTATTTTAATATCTTGTTGCTTTTATGTGTCGTATTTTATTTTCTTTTATACATATTCTTTTAATTCTTATTGGTGTGCATCAGTCTCTCAATGATTTTATAAACTACTTTTTGTCAATAATTTTTCTGCACTCTTGTGAAGCACTTTGAACTGCAATTTAATTTGTCTGAAAGGTGCTATATAAATAAAGTTTGATTGATTGATTGATAATATAAATTCCTCGTGAAACAGGTCTTTTTGAGTAAAAAGCTCAGTTATTCCTCTCATGTAAATATCTTCTTACAAAGTAAAATGACTCATATCTTCACAGATAATATTATTCATATACACCAACCCTGCTGCATAAACATCAAAACAAAACCACCCTGATATATAAACATATAGCACTGAAACAGCACTTCTCAGAATTACAAATGACTTGCTTTTAGCTGTGGACTCTGGTAAATGCTCTGTTCTCCTACTGTTAGATCTAACAGCAGCTTTCGACACAGTTGACCATTCAGTTCTCATCCAGAGACTAAACAAATGGGTTGGGGTCTCTGGTACTGCCTTAAATTGGTTTTCGTCCTACTTATCCAACAGATCTTTCAGTGTTTCCATTGGTAACTTTTCATCCTCCTCTGCCCCCATTCCCTGTGGTGTTCCCCAAGGTTCCATACTTGGTCCAGTCCTCTTCTCCATTTACTTACTCCCGCTAGGCCAAATTTTTGAAAAATACAACATATCTTACCACTGTTACGCTGATGATACACAGATTTACCTCCCCCTGGAACCAAACAACTACAACAAACTCACAAACCTCACAAATTGTCTTCAAGACGTAAAATCTTGGATGGCCACAAACTTCCTCCAGCTCAACAACGAAAAAACTGAAGTTATCTTGTTGGTCCACAGCACTTGGCAGACTCAATTTCACCCCATCTCACCCATTGTCCCAGTCCGTTAAATCTCAGGTAAAAAAATCTTGGCATAATATTTGATTCAGCACTAAAATTTGACAAACAAATAAATCAGGTTGTAAAATCAAGCTTCATGCAGCTCCGATCCATCTCCAAATTAAGACCGATCCTATGTTACTCCGACCTGGAGAAAGTTATTCACGCATTCATATCCACTCGCATCGATTACTGTAATTCACTTTATTTTGGTATCACTCAGTCATCTCTATCCCGCCTTCAACTCATACAAAAATCAGCAGCCAGAGTCCAAACACGGTCAAAAAGGAGAGATCACATCACCCCAGTTCTTGCCTCCTTACACTGGCTGCCAGTCAAGCTGAGGATTGATTTTAAAACACTTCTGACTGTGTTTAAGGCATTAAATGGACTTGCCCCCCCGCCTACCTCTCAGAACTCCTATCCCCATATAAACCGGTGACAGATCTTAGGTCATCTGCACAAAACTTTCTGTCACTGCCTAAATCGAGGACAAGGTGCAATGGGGATCGGGCCTTTTCTATTGCAGGACCAAAACTATGGAACTCTTTGCCCCCAGACATCCGTCTCTCTCCCCACTATTGGTGTTTTTAAAACTCGCCTTAAAACATATTTTTTTACCCAATTGCTTTTAATGTTCAGTAACCTGTTTTTGTTTTTTTAATTGTTGTTACTCTTGTCTGTTACTTTTTTAATGCTTTGTTTCTGCAATGTTCAGCACTTTGGATCAATCAATGTTGTGTTTAAAGTGCTACATAAATAAAGTTGATTTGATATAACCATTTGTTGTTCTCACTCTCGCCACTGTTACCTACACTTGATTTAAATGTAATTTACACTACAAACTACTTCATAATAAGCCTGAATGAAAAGCTAAATGTGACCACAGCATGTCTTCACATAGATAATACATGCACATTAAAGTCTTAACTAGGTATTTCAACACCTGCTGATACTTGTGGTAACTGATTACATTACCTAGGCAGTGTAGTGTAAACATGTGACCTTGACTTACAGCTTTACACTGAGTTATAACCTCATAGTTATGTCTTACTCCCGGCTCAAAGGATTAAAGTCACTGTCATCAGTGAGTTAGTTTCCTAGAAAGCTTACTTGAACCTAAAGGCAGAACCTAAACAACCAGTTCATCCGTCACGATGTACCTGTGATAGCGAGATTAAGTTAAACTACATGTTTAGATATCACACAGTTTAGTCATGTTCAGGGCTGTAAGAAAACTAGCTTAGCATAACTATATGTCAACTCAGGTTGTTCCGAGTCGAGCTCATGTTAAGTGAAGATTAATACAAGGAAGAAAGACAAGTCCTACCTGAAGTTACTGGTAATGAAGCTTGTTATGCACACAGTGTGTTTAGAAACTGAGTATTTAATTTACTGCATCCGTCAGTAGCATTGAGACCGACAGGGCAGCGATTAAGATAGTTTCTTCTTCTTCTTCTTCTTTTGCTGCTGCGAGCCCGTCATCTTCGGCTTTTTCTTCTTCTTCGTCATTATTTTTTTTTTGCTTCAAACCAACTTGACCGGTGCGTGTCGCCACCTACTGCACGGGAGTGTGTAACATGATAACTTTCATTTATAGCTTATAATTTCCGCGTAGCCCTTTTAGTCTGCCTGATTCCTAGTAGATTTCTTCAGTAACCATTTCATACTCCATTCCCCTCGATCTTAAATATGTTTCTTAGAGTTAAATGCTGTTGTTGTTGTTGTTGTGCTTTGTGCGTCTCCCCGAAAACAACGTGTTCTTCCCGTCCGGTAGGCGTCGCTTTAGATATGATGAACAGTTCAGTCCGTCTTCCGTTTCCGCTTCTTTTTTTCTTCTTCTCCAGCAGTGCGAAAGGAAGTGTCCTCCATGGTGTCATTGTAGGCTCGCTGAGGTTGAATATCCACACTTTTAGAAGATGTCTGGCTACACACCAGACGAGAAGCTCCGCGTCGAGCAGCTGACAAAGCTCCGCAGGCAGTGGCTGAAGGACCAGGAGCTCAGCCCGAGGGAGCCCGTGCTACCAGCTAAACCTCTCGGCCCCATCGCCAAGTTCTGGGCTGGCTTTCTGGAGCCCAAGAGCCTGTGGAGACTTTACGTGAGTGCTCATTTCAAGCTGTCAAAACAACCAAGGGATGAATACAGTGGACAGTCAGTACATACGATAAATATCAGTAAATGAAAAAGAAAAGAAAAGAAGGGTTATAGAGTGTAAATACGTATTTCCACACGCCTGTGACGTGGGGAAAACAGCGAACTAACCATGTTGTTGTTTTGATTTTACTTAGCTGTGAGGACGTACTGAAGAATAACCTTAACCATGGATTGATTACATGTATTTCAGACATATCAAATGAAATCAAACATATCAAAAATACAAAACAAAATGAAAAGCACGAAAATACAATACACAAAAAAAATGTTCAAATTATTTCACTTTACATATATTCAATTGATTTGCCTGAAAAGGAGCAGGAAGAAGTAGAAAACTTATTTAATCCTACCCCTTTTCCACAGCTCAATAATTAATATTTATCAAATTAAATTTACTTCCTGTGTTCCTTATAATCTCTATATATAATCTATCTATCTACAATTTGCTATACTGTATTTATGATGCTATATTTGATATTTACAATTCTATGATTTTCCTTACATATATACAACTTGATATACTATGATTTTTTTATAATTTATATATTTATACAATCCATATATCTATATACATATCTATTTTTACAATTTGATGTACTATATTTATATTATATTATTTTATAATTTATATATTTATACAATCCATATATCTATACCTATATATACATATCTAATTCTTCAAAAATAATAAATTACGCTAATTGTTTTTCTTTTTTTTACAATACTATCCATAATATTGTGATTATGTCATTAGGCCTATATTGTATTAATATCTATATAGGTCTATATATACAAATAACTGTGATGCAATATTGATAATAAACTAATCATTCAGTGAAGATTGTTCAAATTAATTCCCAAGATCACACAGATGCTCAGAGAGCTTCACAGTCTGTACAATATATGACATCCACCATGCTCAGTTTATTTATTATGCAAATGTATCTTTGTGCATAATAAATAGAAACAAAGAGCTGGAGCCAAATGAAACACTCATGTTGTCATTAACATCTGTACATTTTCTGCCATTCCAAGTAAAATAAACCTATTTTAAATGGCTAGTTTGCCACTTTAGAGTTTGAGAGGTTTTCATTGTGCATGTTTCTCTTTTTCTTATGATTTGTAGTATAAAGGTGTATTTTTTGTATTCAATAAAACTTAGAGCATGAGGTAGTCAATGAGAAAATACAAAAATGATTTTATGTAAGGTCATAGGTTGGTTCTTTAAAAATGTAACAGTCCTACTAGACACCTCTCTGAGTTTTATTGGGTCTTCATATTTAGCGTGTATCTAGCTAAGAAACCCAACACTTATTTACTAATTGAATTCCTCTTTTTACATTTTACTGCCTACATTGATTGAAAGAACAAGCTCCAACATGTGTTGATGTATGCATCATCGGTTTGCAGCAGTAAGAATGAACACTATGATTAATTGTGTACTTGTCTTCTATTCATATTTGTCTCCTTTAACGTGTCTCCATACAGACCTACAAAGCATACAGAGGAGGAGTTTTCACATTAACACGGGTGTTGATACCTTCTGGGCTGTTCATTACTTTGTGAAGTACCACGTTTCAGTAAGTGAACAGAAATTGAAAAAATGTGATAAATACCTTTTACAGTTTTTTACATGTGGTACAAATCTGTTTAACATAAATGCAATACTTCATGATATAGATATCACAATGTGTTTAGATGTTATGTGCATCTGAGTTAATACATCTGTGGTGCTACAGCCAAGACCAGCACACCTGATATCACTTATACACATGTAGATGGACACTTTGTCATGTGTCTTTTTATAGCTCAGAAGGCATAATAAATAACCATGTCATTGCCCCCCACAGGAAAGACCATATGGCATTGTGGAATTGAAACCCAGACTGTTCCCAGTAAGTATGACCCCCCCCTTTTTACATCTTGTACCTTTACATGTTGTACCTCTATTACAAGAATTAAAAGGACTATAATACTGCTGCGTATTAGCTTGCAATTCTAGCTACAGCATGAACAGAATCTCCATCAGTCTTATTTTATACAGAAACGTCCACTTCCCTAAGATGCTCTGACAGTTGTCTTGAAGAGCTGCTCCCTTGAATGTCACAGTGGAAGAGAGTGTTTGTAATTTGTTTGTCCTTTATTGTGTTTAGGGTGACACCATTCTGGAGACGGGTGAAGTTGTTCCAGAGCTCCCTGAGAGCCATGGTCATCACTGAACCAGAAATATTTCAATAATTTCGACTTTCTGTTGTAAAAACTGTATATGCCAATAAATATTCTAAAGTTCTATCTGTTTTGAGCTTTTTTTTTTTTTTTTTTTTTTTTTTTACAAAAGTAATTCTACTTCTTGTTTATTTTACAGCGTGATACTGGAATGGGTTGAGATGAAAGAAAACAACTCTGGTCCTGTATCACAAACAACAAATGATTCTCTTGATTTCCAGGGTGCAATCATTGCTTAACGGGCATACAAATAAAAGTATTTAGCATTTCTCAAATGTGAGTGTGAAATTCAGAAGACAAATGTGCAACTTTTTCTGTGATCTGCATCAAATGACGTTAACATGATTAAGAACTGTAATTCTTAAATAACCCTGTAGATTATGTTACCGTTCTTTTTCATTTAAATTACGAGGGAAATAGATTTTACTAACATAGACTGACGTCAGATGAAGAGGATTATAATATTTACATGATGGTGTCCACAAAATGCTGATTAATAATCATATTTAAATTCACAGTGGGTTTTGTGTCACAGGGTTATTTCACAGATTGTTCTGACACTATTTGAATGTTACCTGTTCATCAGAGAGACTGTTGTCAGATTGTTTTGGTGCATAGAGCTTCGTACTTGCAGGGGATGCTGGTAGTTTAAGATGGAGTGGCTGAGTGGTGTTTTAAGGTTACAGTAAACTAAATACGTTTTATTCCAGTTGGTATCACTCAAATCACTCCTCCTGGCCCTCTCTATCCCACCAAGTCCAACACAGTTTCCACAGATGGCTGTTCATTATGAGTCAGCTTCTCCTCGAGGTTTCGGCCTCTTAAAAGAAGTTTTTCCTTGCCACTTTTACTTTGCTAAATGTTGCTTAGAGCTGTGCTCATGATTGATGATTGAATATTAAAAGAAAATATAAAAAAAATAAGGATTTTTTTTTTTTTACCTGCTCTTTTGTAAAGGTCTTGAGATAACATTTGCTATCAGCCACATCTCAGCGCTATACAAATGAAGATTGATTAAAATGTAATTACAATTTAGAGACACTAATTTTGTAATTACTTTTTTTTTTTTTTTAAACGAAGAAACAAAAAAAAAAAAAACGTATTTTATTCCGGATCTTCAAAAATGTGGCTATGATGCTTTTATTCTGAAGGGCGGAAGTCGATGGAATTTAAAAATAATTGTTCGGTTATGGAAGGAGCTGCTGCTGGCTAGGTTGTTCATTTTGTCAACAGTTGCTCTGGAATGAAATGATGTAGAACATTATTTTATTTTTTTTAACTACATGGACGAAGATAACTAGTTTGCCAACCTGCTGCGTACCTGAGGAAGTCAGAGGTAAATACTGAACAACTTTTCCTCGAACGTCATAACTAGCCGATTAGCTTAGCTATATGTATGTTAGCTTCACGCCCTAGCTTCCTGACTAGCACCTTTGCTAATTTTGGCTTACCTCTGTCTGTGGTTCGTAAACGTGGTGTCAGTCTATTTCACATTGAGTGGACGTGTCAGTATAATGCCAATATAAGGATTTATGTGTGTTTAGATAATACAAGCTTTAATATTTTCCACTGTTAAACATAACTAAAGCTCGACACTCGGTTTGGCTCTTGCCTGACCTGCTAAAGCTAATAAATGAAAACAGTGTTGTCAAAATCTGTAAAGGACGACGACGTATACATGTAAGGTAGTTGGGTTGTTCTGATTCGTTGTTATCAGGTGAGAAATGTGTTTTAGCTGATAAAGGTAGAGCCCCATGTTTACAGCACGAATGAACCTGATGTAACTGAGGTCAGTGGGTCATTGACTGTCTTAGCATCACATTTTAAAACTTTCCATAAACTCAGATGTTTTAGCTCCTTTCTGGTTATATAGGACTCTTTTTCTTTTCTATTCCAAGCAGTGTTCCCGCAAGTTTTTTTTTGTTACCTCCAGATACTTTTATGTGGTAGCAAAAGTAACTTTTTGTCTGATGAAAAGTTGAAAAGTCTTACATGGCTGTGGATTCATATGTCAGCAGCAGCAGGTAATAATCCTGTGTGAGGATTTGTAGTTTTATACTGAGAGAAACGTACTCCAAGTCAATAGAACGCCACAAGGCTGTCATACATTTCCATTATGGTAAATTTGATGTTTTAAACTTGTGTTTTTTTTCTATTCTGACAGATAATGTCAGCGATTAAGGTGGCCCTGCAACAGCGCCAGAAGAGCGGCAGAAGGAAAACCTCCGGAGCCATGTCTGCAGATGTTTCACCAGACTCCAAGTGTCCCATCTGCTTGGACGTTTTTCACAACATCTCTTACCTGAACCTCTGCCTGCACAAGTTCTGTTTCCGCTGTATTCACGAGTGGTCCAAGAACAAAGCCGAATGCCCGCTATGCAAACAGCCCTTTAATTCAATTTATCACAGCATAAAATCGGAGCAAGACTTTAAAAAATACGATCTGCAGCCGCTGGAAAATGGCTCTTTTGGAACTTTTGGGGGAGTGCGTTTTAGATACCGCACAACTCTTACGGGAGTAAATCGACAGATGCGGGGAAGGACATCGCCACCTCCCGATAATGGGGTGATGTTTGAAGCCTCAACAAACCCTCCCCAACAGCGGCAAGATCGTTATATTAGGCGCATGATGATGAGGTTGGCAGCTAAGAGGCAAGCAGCAAATGAAGGCAGGGTGGTGAACAGTGTCAGGGAGCAGGAAATGATAAACTTCAGGAGGGAACTCTACCGTCAAGGGGTGAGGGTTCGAAGTGTACGGGATGGGGGACGCTGCAGAGACACTTCAGCTGAGTTCTTCAGAAGAAATTCTGCCTGTCTACACAGACTTGTGCCCTTTCTGAAAAGAGAACTCATTGTGCTTTATGGAGCCCATGGCTCTTTGGTCAACATAGTTCAACACATCATTATGTCCCGGATTACACGTTATGACATGGAGGATGGAGCTATTCAGGAAGAGCTCAGGCCATTCCTTCAGGCCCGCACAGAGCACTTTCTGCACGAGTTCATCAGCTTTGCAAAATCTCCCTTCAATATGGAGGCCTATGACCAACACGCTGCCTACGACTGCCCAGCCCCATCCTCGAATGAAGACAGCAGCTCTAACTCTTCTGTAATAGCCATCTCAGAGGATGAGGAGTTCTCTGTGGAGTTGGACCCCCCAGATGACTCTGCATCGACTTTGAGCCAGTCTGTGTGGGATGATGAGACACCTGGGCCTTCATATTCTACGACAGCAGAGCAGAGCAGGGCAGAGTGTCTGTCCGTTGTAGACTCAGAGTCAGACAGCAGTTTAGAGGAGGAGACACGTGTGTTTGGAGCTTCTCCGCAACAAAGGATTCCTCATATTCAAACAGATTTGATACAGAGTGAAGTTAACAAAGAAGATTGTTTGTCTTCTGACAGTGACGACTGTGTCATTGTAAGTTTTGTGAAACCAACAGCAGAAAGAACTCCTGAACTGGTGAAGCTGTCTTCTGACTCTGACGAGTCGGCTAGTGAAGATACCAAAGAAGTGCCTCTTCTGCCTCAACACATCCGTTTCTCCAGTCTCAGTCCTATAGCCTCACAGAGAAGTGGTCGTGGACAGTCAGGAAATGTAGAAACAGATTATCAGGAGGACTCAAAAGAAAGCTATAGCTCTTTAACATCTAGCCTACACAAGACATCTAGAAAGTCAAGCAGAAAAGAGAAGGATAAAAGATTTGATAGTAATGACAAATCTAGGGAGAGCCACTGGTCTAAGGACAGAGACCACAGGAGGAGGAGGAGGTCAAGAAGTAGAGAGCGCAGACAGTCCAGCAGGAGCCCAGCGAATTCCCACAGCAGTGTCGCTACTCTATCCAAAAACAGAGGTTATTCTTACTCGAGTGGCAGAGACTCCTACTCAAAATGTGACAGTCACTATAAAAGGAGGGACACTGATCAAATCTATCAGTCAGACAGACACTACAGCAAAGAGAGAAAGGATAAGGGAGTGCATTACACAGAGAGGCACTCCTACTATTACAGTAGTAACAAGCACTCAGATCGACACTCACACTCTCGCTCCAGGAGCCGCAACAGGGACTCGCGAAGACGTGACAGGAGGCGTTCTCAATCTCGGTCTTATTCCAGCAGTCGCTCCCCATATGCAAAAAAGAGCTCACGCCACGACGACAAGCCTGGCGGGAAGAGGAAATACAAAACCAGACATTTGGAGGAACCATCCAGCCCTCGTTCCAACTCCAATGCTGACGACGAAACTTCCACTTCCACAAAGAAAAAGAACAAAGAAAAGCATCTTAATAAATCCAAAGAGAGGTCGAGAAAAACCAGCAGGAGCCTGAGTGTGGAGCTCGTCGGTGAGGAAAACTCTCACGAACGAACTAAGAGACATCATAAGAAAAAGAAGAAACACAAGAAGAAGAGCAAAAGGCACAAGAGTAATGAACGCACAGAGAAACACTCACCCACCGTCATCACTATTGACAGTGACAGTGACTCTTTTGCTAATTGCAGTGCCACTCAGGCCACCTGCACCATTAAGGACAGCAGCCCCATAGACAACCCAGGAGACCCCGACCCATGCACCATCAAGGACAGCTCCGTAGGAAACCCAGGAGGCCAAGCTCCCGCCACTTGCACCATCAAGGACAGTCCCATAGACAACCCAGGAGAACCCGCCCCATGCACCATCAAGGACAGCCCTATAGACAATACCACAGACAACCCAGGAGACCACGTCCCTCTGGACTTACATTCGTAGTTCAATGAAAGTTCAGATTCCTTTTGTTTGTGCTGGGAAATGATGCTGAATGGGAATGATGTTCAAGGTCACCATACTTAAGTGTATGTAAACACATATCCCTTTGAATGCCACTGCATCTGTTTCTTCAACTAATGTGCCATCATTGGGTTCATGTCTGTTTTTGACCATTGCGGCCTGGGTTCTCGACTTTTAACTACACCTTCAGTAATCTTATTTTATGCGCCAAGTGCCAAATTGAACAAGGGCGAATTAAATAGTGTTATCAGTTAAAACCATTTATTTTCTGGAAAGCCACTTTCTTTAACAGATGTATTTTATTTCTCAGGTGCTCTCAGGGATAATGTTGAATGATATTTTCAAAATGTTATAAGTCAGCTGTATTCTTGAAACAAAAACATTTTTACCTGCTTCTCTCTGAGTAGCACTTATTAGAAGATGGTGTGTGGATTTCAGAACAGGCTCTTTGTATTTTATTTTATTTAAAATAAATTGTATTGAGCAGCTCTGCACTATGTTGGTCATGATATTTTTCTATTTGTTACATGTAGGAGCAGATCTGGTATGATTGGTCTACCTTATGAGGTGTTTTTTGTACAACACTAAATTATTGCCATCATGTGAGAGATAGTGTTTAAATAAATCTTCAGTGGTGAACTAACATTTTTACATAGCTAGAGAATTGGTTTTCATTATATTTAGTTTCATTATATTACGTAAAAGCCTCTTCTTTCAGTATGAGAAAAAGTTCAAAGCATACATTTTTCACCTTCCAATATATATATATATATTGCAGTACTGATTGGCCTCTGTTGTAGTTTTACAGAGATTGACATCATCTTAATTTTTTGATGTTTTAAATGGTAAACATCATATAACTTGTCAAACTTTCAAATATATAAATGCGAATGACTGCTGGTTCCAGGCTAGTGAGATGAGGACTGTAGGCAGTGAAGCTCTACCAGCTGACTAAACCAGCACCCCTCAAGATGATTCATTTTTACTGACCACCTTGATGTAAAACCAGACAAACTTCAAAGTTAGAAAAACATAAATGTCTTTCCCCTGATAACCAAACATTCAAGTTTCTAAGAAAAATTTATTTCTTATGTCCAAAAGACTTTTCGAAATTGTCTTTATCGCTGTCACACACTTTTTAGTTCTTCAGCAGGCGATTTTAAATTCAGAATCTTGATGATAATTTGAAAGTGCCACAGCTTCATTTTAAGTTTTGTTTGATAAAAAAGCACATCAGTTTCGTTAAGACATGCAATGAGAACGACCTATACAACTATCTTCACATCTAGCTGCTTTGGTAATAAAGCTCAAAGAGCAGGTTAAGATAAAAACTCCTCTGGTTATTACTGAGCGCCATAAATATAAAGCAACTTAAGCAGACGTTTTGTTCACAGATTTAACACAGGGCGCTTCAAGCATCACGTGTATATAAGTCAGGGATGGGCCACTTTGGTCACAGCAAGGGCCACGTTCATTTAATTCTCACTGCCAGAGGGCCAAATTGTAGTAGACAAAAACAATTACGGTCAATTATGTCTCAAATTTATATTAACATACACCAGTTGTCAAATATTATTATGGACATATTTCTGATTTCATGGCAGATTTTGTCATGTTTTCTAAATGTTTCCAATAAATTGATATGTAAAAAATGACCTGAGGGCCACGTTTAGGGTTGATGGGGGCCGCATGTGGCCCCCGTCAAGTTGCCCACCCCTGATATAAGTTAATAGAAACCAACTGCGTCCTGTAACCCAAATAATAATGTAGAATAATACGATATAAACATAGTGGTTGTGCAGTAGACAGGACAAATACCCTGTACAAACAAACAGTAGTGCAGGTTAAATTCCATGCTTTTATTCTGAAGACAAATATCAAACAGGAAGGGGAATGTCTCGTGTCCACGCTCGTGTCCGTTGTGCAGACGGATGTTGTTAAGGGTTTGTAGCTATATAACGTGAACCTCACTACTTGGACAATTTCTTAATTCTGCTGCAAGAAAACTGTCGACATGGCTTCAACGGTACCCATTAAGGTAGTAAACCTGCATTTCACGACACTTTAGCAGTAACAGTAAATGGTGTGTTTATAGGGTTAAAGAGGTAAAATCAGTGATAAATGTTAGCTAGGTAAAGTCATGACAGATGTGCAGCTGAGACAAACAAAGTGCGGGAAAAGCAACTACACAGTACACGTTTATTAAAAGTCTGCAGGCTGTTGGACATCAGCTTAATAACACGGTTATATGTCAATTCTGTTTTAACTGGACATTTGAATTATCTAAGTTAATTTTGCACGTGGCCAGGTGAAGTGCTCTCTGCAGCTGTGACTCGAGGCACCGTGACAGCTCAACTCAAAAAGTTAAATATAGGAGGAAATAGAAAGAACCACATTATCACTAAAAATGACTGTAACTACAACAAGTGTTAGCTGATTACCTGGGCGGTGTTGCCTTCAGGTGTCTTTTTAAAGTAACTTTTATTTTTAAAACCTAACATACACTTAATGACCACCTGAAATAAAATTAATCTTGGACTTATAAATCTTCTACAAAACAGGTGAAATACTGTCTCAAAGCAAGCCAGAGCTGTACCCACTTTTAAATAGTATCTTTATTCTAAACTGGTTTATGGCATTTGTATTGTTGTACATGTATTTGAATGTATCCTCATATCGTGTTATGGGGTTTTATGTAACTCAATGTTGTACATTTTAATCTGTTTGTTTACACAAAGGCCCCACTGGGGACACGAGTTGGCAATAAGCAATAGTTATATACTCTTTGTGCAGCACATGAGTTTCATGCTTTGTTTTGAAATTATGTTAAATTGCATTGTCCCTATTAAATAACTTAATTCAATTCAATAATTATACGTCACGGTGACGATGCCGGTGTAAAAATACATTTTTAAGTGCCAAAGACATGGATTGAAGACTGAAAAAACAGAAATATAAGCATATGAATTAAAATATATCATGTTATCAGTTGGTTTATTATTCCAGGCAAACAAGCTTCTGTAGATTTACCTCATTCATTTCCATCAAACGTATCCAGGTGTTCTTAAAGGTTAACCCTTAATGTTAGATTTAAGTATGTGAAGAAGAGGAGTGTATGATGGACTCACAGGCCTTTTTCTTTATTTTTTTTTGCTTTGGTTTGTTCATTTCAACAAGCCCAGCATAGATTGGTCTGCGTTTAATAGTGATTTAACAGTGATCCTCTAACCCGTGTTGCTTAGCTTACAGTGTGCCAGAAAAATAAAGATGATAGCTTTCTTTTTAAAAGCATACTTACCTGGGGATATCAGATATTTATAATGTTATCTGCTGAAATGTTTAGGTATAATTAAGCAGCCATTCTTGATTGATATTATTATAGTAGGTGCTGTCTGTCAATATATAAAAAGTCATTTTGATCTGTGATGACTTGGTTTCTTTTTGATTTTCAATTGGATCATCAGTTGTTTATATTTATATTTATATATATATATATTGTGTGCAAAGTACTAGTTAGTTATACAGCTATCATATAATTGTGGTTGTAACTGAAGTGTTGGTTTTATTGAAGTAATTTCTTTCCCTTTGAACACTTCTGTTAACCGACTGTAACTGACAATAAACATGAAAGTAAACAGAGTGATGCTTAAATATATTTACTTATTTGAGTAAATATAATTACCTTCTTAAATGACTGTAAACAAACAATATTTATTTAAAAACATAAACAGCTTAGAGGGAAATGAATAACGGCATCCAGTTAAATGTTTGTGCAGTGAATGAGTGACTGATGTCCTGTGAGCACAGCAGACTTTCAAACAGCAGTTTATTTAAGATCATTTGTGTTTATATTCATGCCCCAATGTCCCTATTCTGAATTTAAAACGCATACAAATTCATTACAGATTCATTTGTAGTACAAATTAAAGCATTGTGGTCAGGTAATAGTCTGATTTTGTATCATTCTCAAAATGTTCGTTTAGATTGGAATAATTGGTGGTTCAGGCCTTGATGATCCGGATATCTTGGAGGGGAGGACTGAACGTTATGTGGACACCCCATATGGAAAGGTCAGTTTTACTTTGTGAGTTTGTGGTCCAAAGATGTTTACTGTCAAATAGAGAAGTGTAAACAATAAGGCTGAATTACTTTACTACGTATTTGCAAGCAAATAATTCCATACAGTCAGTGTTTTGGGGGTCTAAATTAATTGATCTGCTCTTCCTTAGCCGTCAGACGCTCTGATTCTGGGGAAGATCAAAAATGTGGAATGCGTGCTCCTTGCAAGGTAAGAAAGATTGATTTACTTTCTTTTCCAAAGGGAATGGAAATTGTTAGGTCTTTGCACCATCTAGTGGAAGCACCTCACACTTCACACGTGTGTGGATTTGATGTCCTAACTGTTAAACACAAGAATATATTTGAATGTTATTAAATAATATTCCACCACATATTTCCTCCTCTCTATAGGCATGGGAGACAACACACTATAATGCCGTCTAATGTGAACTACCAGGCCAACATCTGGGCATTGAAAGAAGAAGGCTGTACACATCTGTTGGTGACAACAGCTTGTGGCTCACTGCGGGAGGAGATTCAGCCAGGAGACATTGTCATTATAGATCAGTTCATTGATAGGTGAGTGACAAGGGAGCTCTACAGCAGGTTACAGATATTTGTTTTTTCCCCACATTTTTTTAAGGAAGCGCCTGTATTCAGGCCTGTTATTGCATTTCAACTGTATTCTTAACAAGTGTTTTTAAGCAGTTGTCTTTCATTTTAAAAAATGTACAACATATGATCGGTGGAGTACGATTATCTTGGCTCTGCTGAAACTATTTTCCAATCCATTCCAATCCAGTTTTATTCATAAAGGACATTTAAAAACAACAAAAGTTGACCAAAGTGCTACAATCAATTATTAAAAACACATAAACAGTGCAACAAAATGAAACGGGTAAAAAATGAAAATGGTAGTTTAGGCAGGATGAATAAAACAGTAAAGGGAAATTGTTGGTAAGATGAACAGGATACATAAAAGCTTTCTTTCACAATTAGCACCAATTAGCAAATTCCCTATTGCACAAATATGAAGAATTATGATTCTGGCTGTCACAGCTATTGTTCCGAATCATTTTCAGTCCTCCACAGAGTTGCCAGTCCACCAGTGATGCTCAGAACTTGGACTAAGAGCATTTTCGGCCAAATATGTTACCTACCAATTCAAATTAAAAAGAATGCAGAAGCAAAGTGCAATCCAGCCCTCACTGCATCCAAATATATACAGAGGTCTGTCACCACTTTAATACTGAAAATTATTAGACCAATATTCTCACACAACAGACTAATTCTTACAAAAACTGCTTATAATATACAATGTTCACCTCACACATATTAATATGTTATTTTAGTGCTTTTTAATCTTTTGAGATGTTATTCTACAAGGCCTCACAATACTCCACAGTAAGATGTTTATGTGAAAAAATGGCCACATTGTTTTGTTGGTATTTTATGAACAAAATCTAACAATTAAATTTAATTTTTAATGATAATGATTTTAATAAACCAAACAAAAATACAAACCTATAACCCAACCTAAGGACACACACACACACACACACACACACACACACACACACACACACACACACACACACTCATTTACAACTGGGAAGAAGGGGTGCAAACAAAAAAGTTAATCTAAAGTGAAGGTGTGTGAAGTACACCAAAGCATACATATCAATATCATCCACCTGTTATTGCTAAATCCAAGCTGTCCACAATGGAATTATCCATAAACAACAAGTTAACCCAAGATTTATGTTTTTATAGATTTTAGAATTTATAGATTATCCCATTTATGTTTACATTTTGAATTGTTAGTTTCCAGAAATTCAGCTGTAATGTCAGGCTGACCTTAATGTGCTCCTCTTAACTTTTTATCCAGTTATGATCGTCGACAAGGTGTGTTGTGATACGATTCAAGAATTTTCCCACACATCTCACTGTGCTTGGGACTCATGTTACTGTGTGGCTAGCATGTCATATTAGCTGAGTGAGAGAGCTAGAGGACTTGACTCATTAAATACATTTGTTGTATATTTGTTTTCTATCTCGTACAGTTTGAACACTTTTAACCTTGACCTGGTGTTTTGAAGGGCTTTAAAGTGTCCTAGCTTATTAAAGTTGTTGTGACTTTGAGCTTCTAGCTTTGTTAACAGTCAACACAGATGAGGTGTCGGATTGTATAGAGCTTGAACTTTGCTACTGAGGTATATTTGCTAACAGCCAGGGCTCCTTCCTGTTTGTATCCTGTATCACTTTCTCTGCGGCGTGACAATTCTAGCTGTCAGTTCTTACATACATACATACATTCAATTAATTCAGCTAACACCATCTGCAGAGGCATTTACTCTCTGTGGATCTGAATGTTACTACTTTTTTATTGTGAGTGTACAATGACATGGATTGTCTGCTCTGTGTTGGTTTTGATGAGATTTGACCACAAATACTAACGGCAGCTACTGCTCTTTATTATTTAAATCTCTACTCATACCAAAAGTCATTTTGAAGTCTTCATCTAGAAAGGTTCATCTAGAAACCTACACTCGTCCTTCTTCAATGAAATATTTCCTTGTAAACCTGAGAATCTTTCTCATTCATTGACACCTGAAAACAAACTTTCTCAGAGGTGTCAGCCTTCCAGGCATACACACACTAAACAAAGTGAGGCATGACCCTGAGGGAGAGTTGTTTTCTTTCCCTATTAGCATATTGCACACATTCCTTTACACAACACAATATCTACAGTGAGGGCTGCTGTAAGTAGGATGGCTGTTTTCTTACCAGGGATTTGACATACAGCTGGTTAAATTGGTGTATATAGTAAACTGACTTCACATAGTCGTTTCAGTGTGTTTGCCTGTACACTTGTATACGGATGCATCACGTTGCCTGAGGTTCTGGCAGCCAGTGTTGGAGAATCTGATGAATAGTTAAACTATCAAGCACAGGCATGATCTATTTATAAGAAATGAGGAAGTTATAAGTTGGGACTTGTTCAGACTTGTCCTGCAGCATGTGACAGCATGTTCAAAGACATCACACTGTTGATGCCACTTTTGTTATGTCACCTCTGCTGCTCCCAACCAAACACTGTTGATATAGAGCTGTGGACTTTGCCAAGTTTAAAGCATCAGTGTCTTACACAGTGACAGAGTTTCACACTCAGGTTTTCAGTTCTAACTTTTGACCTCTTTAATTTGAAATGCTCTGTTTTGCATTTTCACTCTCATGAATCTGTAGCTGATAGACTGGTCATGGACTGCAATTATATATAGTTCCTTTCTAATATTGTGACCACTCAAAGTGCTTTAGTCAAATGTCCTTATTTACTCCCTCGCGCACATTCATACGCGGGTAGATATGCAAGGCGCCGACCTGCCTATCAGGATCTGGGCAGGTCCTGATGGGGGAGGTGTAAACTCTAAAAACTCTAAAGTTAAGCCAGAAGTGTACTAGCCTATCCCAACTCCTGCATGCGGTGAGATGGCTATGGGAAGCTTTTTGTCCTCTCACTGTTTTAGCTTTGCAGCAGCAACTATAGCTGCAGTTTGTTTGTTAGTTACATTATGCAGTATGCTGTTATTCACTACATTGTTAGATCATAGTATTTGTCCAATCAGAGTTTTAATGCTCTGATTTTTTTAAGAATCGCATAACAACAATCATTCCCAATTTGTCCTGTAATAAACATTGTCCATATTTTTCAGAAAACATTCAAAATAGAAGGAAAGCAAAAGAAAAACACAGATTCATATGACATGGATTCATTTTTATGATATCCAAACAGTATGATAAGTATAATGCATCTTTATATCAACCTCTGTATGGTTTATGTATCAGGTAATGGTGCTGTGATTTCCAAAGTTTACAAACTTTCTGTTGAACAACATGTACATGGTGAGGTGCGTTGGAGGTACTCATGGTGTATATAATGCTTAGTTTCCAAAAACAAATCCTTTGTGCATTATATGAATGATTAGAATTTCTGATAATTATAGGCTGTGATAGTCATTCTTTGCCACAGTGTCTCTCTAATGACATTACTAGCTAATGACCAGGTCATGATAACTTGATTTCTATAGCATAAACAGGCATTGTACTCTGCTCAGTTTTTCCCACACACTGCTGTTATTGACTCTCAGTAGGGCGGAGCTGCAGCTGGCTCATACCATTTCAGTATTTACTTTTTTTTTTTTTTCCACTGCCAGCGTTATGCATGATAGAAAAGGTGGGGCATCGTCTTCAAAGATAATTCTTGTCGTAGGTGCTGACATTCATATTATAAATGGTTGAGATAATTATGTCATGAGTATGTGTTCATGTTGACATTTTCTCAGTCAGTGATTAAAAAAAAAAAGATGATATCTTTCAGTGTTACATGAAAGTTGTTACATGAAAGTTGAAGGAACCGGCAGAAGTTTGAGTAAAATAAATTTGAGTAAAATAAATCAAACATAAAATTGACTAAACCTGCTGGGATAATGGTTAACAGCCAAACAAAGGAACATATCTGTGGTTTGAAAGGCTTGGAATTAACTTCCTGTTTTTTTTTTTGTTTTTGTTTTTTTTCTAGAACTTCCAAGAGAGCTCAGACGCTCTATGACGGACAGGCCACCAGTCCTACCGGAGTGTGTCACATCCCCATGGCTGAGCCTTTCTGCAACAGAACCAGAGAAGTGAGTCCTTAAATTCCTGCACAGATATCCCATTTTATGTGTGTCATTTCCGGTACTCTCTGTTCTTTGTACAATGATTTCTTTTACATTATTATTGTACATTTTAAATTGGAGTTTTTTTAAAATCACTACTTTTACATTGCCTCTAATTTCCATTTTTGTATGTATCTACCTGCAATCTTGCAATTATTGTTCAGATTCTGCACCAGTAATTTTCGGATATATTCCCCTACAACTGGCACAACAAAAATAGAAGTTTGAAGATGTTGAAGGGGTGAAGAAAGTGGCACATTAGCTGCACAGTTCACACACCTGTGGTCTCTTAAGCAGTGAGATAAATATCTGACAACAAGAACAGCATATGATGAACTTTAAAGGGGTTGATTAAACAATTAAATGTAATATTGACTTACTGTAATTAAATAAGCAAATGAAATAATGAACCACTGAACCAATGTGGCAAATCGTGTCCTTTGGGCTTTATTGTGTGATAAGCAGTTTTTGGTCACTGGTTCATCATCTTATTTTCATTAAACTACGTCGGCAGCTGACTGAAACACGGGATATTTTATTTAAAATATTTGTTCAAAGAATCAGATGAACATTTATTAACCAGCTCAACAGATCTCACCTCTCATGCCTTTGGTTTGATCAGTAAGTAACTGATGCTCTTCCCCGGTGCAGGTTTTGGTGGAGGTGGCGCGGAGCCTTGGGGTAAAGTGCCATGTACGAGGGACCATGCTGTCCATCGAGGGGCCTCGCTTCTCCTCGAGGGCCGAGAGCCTGATGTTCCGCCAGTGGGGTGCTGACGTCATCAACATGACAACTGTGCCAGAGGTGGTCCTCGCCAAGGAGGCTGGCCTGTGCTATGCCAGCATCGCCATGGCAACAGACTACGACTGTTGGAAGGAACATGAGGAGGCGGTGAGTGGCAGACTTGAGGTCCTCACAGTCTTTTTATTACTTTGATGTCTCTTCTGTCCTTGTTTGTGCCTCGTGTGAGTCATTATGGGCAAAAGGCGGATGCATGGCTGGTGCACTTTGGGCAACAACACTTCTTCCTTTTTCTGTTTGGTTGCCAGTACACCAAACACTCCAAATTAACCTGTAATTAAAGCGTTATTTGCTTTAAAGTGTCTTTGACTCCTTCAGTTACCAACTTCAAAGAGTTAGCATTTTTTACATTTAGCTTACTATCACCCATGACCTTTTACAATCTTAAGTTATGAGCCTGTATACATTCTTCTGGTTTTAATACTTTAATGCTGTCTGCTTTCCACTGAGGTATGGTGGCTACAGATTGGTAACAGTTTTGTTTTAATTATGCTACATTTTCTTGCAACCTAGCAACCATGATGACATCAGTTTTCCCCAAGAATTCCACTCAAGGGCATGTATTCTTTTCTATATTTAGGTCATCTCGTCCTCATTAAGAGGTATCTCTGCTTATTCTACTATTAACATTGTTGAAGAAATTACTAAGACTTGACTCCACACAATAAGACACAGTTCACATCAGATGGCTTACGTTGATGAAAGTTTATACATAAGATCGGCATCGCATCTACCAAACCTCCTTGCATATATCAGAAAGAACAGTTGACACTATAAGCTGTACTTGGTGTTCTAATAATAGCTGAACTCTGTCAGGTCTGACTGACATTAAAGAACAGTGAATAAACCTAATGACATCTGTACATTATACTCTAAATAACTGCAGAAATTCCACCACAAACATATTTCACTGATATTTTCACTGTATAACCATGTAGGGCCCTTGTGTGTGTGTGTGTGTGTGTGTGTGTGTGTGTGTGTGTGTGTGTGTGTGTTTTAGCGCATTAACTTCTCTACAAATGGTTTACAAATTCTTTCTGGGATTACCCCCTCTGTGTTTACCACATTCTTTTTAACAAGAAAGCGGATTATTATAACAGTTTCAACAGCATTTGCTGGCCCACTTTACATCACCATTAGAGATGATCAGAGTCGGGCTGAGGAACCCCTGATGGTGTAAAACAAGTAACTATTTGCCCTGTGAAATTATTTCAGTACATAAAATTATGCAGCAGCGTAAATGCAAGGTAAATGCAAGGGTGTACCGCCTGTGTGCCAGGGTTTGTGCTAACAGGCTGCAGAATAAAGTGTATTTCCTTGATCATTATGATGTGTTATGCATAATTCTGCATCCCAAACCATCCTGATACACAATAAATAATTTAACGCATCATCTACACTCAGCATGCATTCAAACTCAGCCTTTGACCTATTTGACGCAGCCCTCAATTAATACATTTCCAGCAATTGTATTCTGAACTAAAGCCTCCATTAGCAATCAGCCACCTCCAGATTAACGGGTGTTGATTATTGAGTGAGGTCTGCAAGGTTGGCTAGCACACGGACAGAAGGAGGATAAAAGAGCCAGTACAATTTGTGTGATGAAGACCTTGTGAATGAAGAGAACAGAACTTCTGCTTCAATGTTAAGTACATGTGTAAGAGACTTAACAGAAGAAAGCTTTAAGAGCGGTGATATTAAAACTTGTGTGCAGATTTTTCCTCATTTTGTGAAAGCCTAGATCACAATAAAACCATTATTACTTCATCACATTAGATCCACCCACGTTCTCTCTGTGCCTAATGTGATTGTGACACAGCAAGTTATAAATCTGTTTTTTTATGAATTTTTAAAAAATGTGCCTGATATAACCACCCAAACACAGATCTATGAATCTGGAAATGTATTGCACTTTGGATTGCAAAAGACAGTTTCATTTTTCATGATTATATTTCTTTCTTCTTTTCACTTCCTTTTCTCCAATTGTTAGATTTGTAATTGCATTTAAAAGATTGCGCTTGTTTACTGTAAACCACAGTGATCTGTCTCTTCCTTTTGCAGGAAACTTGATCTCACAGCGCATTAAGTCCTCCTCACATGTCTTTCTGATCATTTTGAACACTTACACAGACGGTAACAAACTGTGAGGGGTCACAATAAGTTGGCATAGGGAAGACATTTTCTTTTCTTCATCAAACTAACAAACATGATTTTGTATATTTTTCAAAGAAGTTTAAATGATAGCATAAATAATTTGTGCTTTCACTTTAAACGAAATTGATCTCTTTTGCAATAGTCACCGTCCTTCCTTAAAGTTGTCAGCCTACGGACATTTGAGCCGATATGCAGAACAGTGCTGAATTGTTGTTGAAAACAACAAGTCTTTTCTTTATCATGAACATGTTGAAGCTGTTTTATTACAGCTAACATACTTTCAGAACATTACTTTTTTAAGATAAACACAATGTTTGTAGCCTACGTGTTATTCATTTTACTTGCGCAAGTGGTTTTCACCATCTGTGCTCCGTATGCACACTTGAGTGTCTGTGGCTTCTTATGGCTTCCGAGTGACCTCAGGAAGACACTGTTGATAGAGCAGTTGATGAACTGTGTGGGTGAGTTTTGGCATATTTGTCACGGATCCAGCCAGTCTCACAACTCAACTTCCGAGTTCCTGCAGCTGACCTCTTCCCCCTCCTGTTGCAGAACACTCGCCACATCCTTCCGCCTCACCCCTCCGCACCAATCCAGTCTTAATACCAACTCCTGCCCCCACTATCCACCCCCCCCCCCCCACAGTCAATTTGCTTGCCAGCCTCCGGTGGAAGCCCTGCCAGAGGAGGTTGAGTCACACTGAGTCATCAGCCTCACTGTCTTTAACCCCGGCAAACAGCAAAAAAAAAGATTAACATTAACCCAGCCGAGTAGGACGAGTAGGAGGACGAGAAGGACATGAAAACAAAGCACGAAAGCAGTGAAGGGAGGGGTTAATGAAGGGTGCAGGAGGTAAATATGAGCACAGAGCAGAAATGGTGTCGCAGCTTTGTTTTACACTGCACATCTGGTCCATTATTTTTTTTATCTTTTTACATTATTCCATACAGATTTACTCAAGTATTTTGTCTTAGTCTTGTGACCAAGGCCTCGGCCTTTCTGTATCATAAACAGAATGACTCATTGGAGTTGAGCTGGTTCCTAGGAAAACAATTTACTGATCGTCACATCTTAAAGGCTTACCATGTGACTTCCAGAACAGAATTTCTGATCAAAACAAATGCTCTCTATCAAGCTCCCCCCTCCCCTCCTGTCTCCACCTCTCCCCTGCTCCTCAGTTGTTGTGTTTGTTTTTTTTTAGGCCATAGAAAGTCTGGTCTTCGGTTTGAAAAGTTTGTTGGTTTTTCTTCAGTCGTACTCTTTCGACGACACTCGGTTAAAATGCAGCTAGCGCAGTTTTCCTGTGTGGGCGCAGGGCTGACGCTATTCCCTCACATGATGGCGGGGCTTACGGTTGGACAGGAAAGGGTCTGCGTCCAGTCATAAAAAGCATGTATGAAACACGTTCGAGTCACTTAGCGAGATATAAACAAGATGCAGGGGTGTCGTCCCATCCATGTGAACACAGAGACCAGAAAAACAAATTAAAATGGAGTTATTCTTCACTCCCTTTTTTAGGAAGTCTTTACTCCACAATCTATTTTGATATATAGATATATATTCGTCATATTAATATTCAGAATGTCGCATATTATGCCTTTTAAGTTAATGAAAGTTTTACTCCAACCAGCTCGTCTTCTGTCAACAATGGAATGCTGGAACTCTTAACATTTATCCTTATAATGTGACTTTTTTTTTTTTTTAGAATTTATATGTAATTTCAGCATATAAATTGAAATACACTGCTTTCACTGCTGATATAACTTAATGATAATTCTGTTCTATTGCTGCCTAAAATACTGTCAGTTAAAATTCCCCTGAAAATGTTCTGAAAAGGGGGGTGTTAAAGTTTAGTTTAGTTTTTTGGGATCCCCATTAGCTGCAGCATTGCAACAGCTATTCTTCCTGGGGTCCTCACAACAGACTTTACATAGTGACAATGCAACCATTACAACACATCACAACACATAACATTAAAGTGTCATGGTAAAAAGTACCAGTGAAGCAGTTTATTTTATATTACCTCATGTTCTTTATGCATTTATTTCATTTTGATCGTTTACAAAAATAAACTATTTTTTTAATTAGACTTTGCATTTATATGGAAATGTACTGATGGAAATGCTGTTTTTTTTAGAAATCTGGGCGATCTCTACGAGATACAGACGTAAAAAAATGTTTTAATTGGTGCTTCATGAGAAAGAGAAAAACGGTATCTTAGGCCTTATATCCAGCAGATCTGGTGATTTCTGTGTACACATGATTGGGTGACTTGTGGAGTTGGCAACAGTAAGTTGAGTTAAACATTCAGACATTCCTCATAAAATCTGCGTTTAAACAAAAGTGAAAATAAATACTGTAAGATGAATATGAACATAGATTTAACACATTTTTTTATTGTTATCCCAGCAGCAGCTACGTCGGTTTTGTGGTTTAATTTGTAACAATGTTTCAGGTCATGTTCGTCTTTGTAACCTGCTACTGGATGCTTTGAATTTTTTTTGGGATCAATAAAGTATCTATCTATCTATCTATCTATCTATCTATCTATCTATCTATGATTTCACTGGATACTGTAGATAGTGTCTTCCTCACATCATTCTGTTACAAATAATCACTGTTGTTAGATTCACAGTGTGTGCATGGTCTCTAGAATCAGAGAAAATACTTGTTTATGTTCATATTTGGGAACTACAAAGGGATTGTGATAGTTGAGAGGAAGTGAATTTTATTACCTGGGGGCTGTTTTTTCTTCCCTTATCACAGGTCTGTGTTGACAACGTACTCAAGACAATGAAGGAAAACGCCAACAAAGCCAGCAGTATCCTGCTCACCGCAATACCCCAGATTAGTCAGATGGACTGGGCTCAGACAATGAAGACCTTGAAAGTAAGTAGTTAACTACAATGATTCATTTCCATGCAGCAGGCCATGGGGACGTTATGAAAGACGGTTTGTTTACCTTTTAAAGTCCCATTAAAAATGTCTCTATTACACTGAAAGTTCAAAAGAATGCTCTAAAGCTTGGAGTGTCACCACTTTCAACAAACGACCTGTTTATGACTGTTATTGATTCTGTGCAGCCACAAGTGGGACGAGAATGTTACTTTCATCTGAGTGGCTAACTCTCAGACTCTCATTGTGCTGTGCCCAACTTTAAATAGTGTTATGAAATGACAAGCTGGGTTACCTTTTTTATTGAGGTTCACAACTAGAATGAAGATACACTACAACCATTAATCTATTACAGTCAATAAACTTAATATAGTGATAAATGTTGAAGAAATATAAGAATAGTGCACCTGTATTACATCGATTTCACCCCTGAAAACCACATAACTAAAGCCGTTTTCACTTACACACTCCTCACAACACAGAATTTCAGAAGGACTGATCCTGATATCCTCCTCATCTGGTTGTTCACACATGCATCTCACAGCAGACCCAGTGGGTGGTGGGGGGGGTTATCATCGCCTGAGGCAAGACAAAAGAATGACACAGGAGATTATTTGCCCATATATCAATGCTACTTGAAGTTCAACAAAGAGAGGAACACACTGGGCAACATGCACTAAGATCATGAAGGTCGCATGCAAACAATCTATGGTCATGCACTGATTGCAGACAGTTAACGTCGCTACCCCCATCCCACTCCCTCGGGGTGAATTCTCCCGGTACTATCCGACTGCGTTCTCACATCAGCTCACTCAGAGTTTCCGCGGAAAAAATACAAGCGGTCTGACAGGAGAAACTCTGGGTGAAGTTCAAGTGGAAAATCTGCCTGCTTGTGTTTACACATACAGCTCACCCTGAAAACTTTGTGCGAGTGTGAAAGCACTATTACAGCATTGTTTTACACTCAGTACATCCTTTTCATCCTTGTTGAGTGTTTAAAAGTTATTTTTGCAATGACCGCCTCATTAACTTCAACGTTCTATGTAAATGACCACACCTACTGAGTACTTTGACTTTCATGAAACAGACACTGCAGACAACTTTCACATGCTCTTACGGTTGATGTATATCTTTGACGCATTCATTAAATACCAGCTGTTTTCTTCCTTCTGTTACAGTCAATGGCACAATCTTCAGTAATGTTACCAAAACACTAAGTGCGCAGAAAACTTTGAAGTAGACCCAAGACACCTCCGGCACCGACACGGACTGCAGACTCAACTTTGACTCATCACTGAACTACAAGAAAAGTGCCTCACATAAGTAATGCATGGACTCTGTCATCAGCCTGTGTTTAAATAAGTGTTATTTTTAAAAAACAAAACTACACATTACCACCTTTCTTCATACTAATTCATAGGTCTGTTTTTTTCTCTTGAACAATAACCAGTATTGTCACTCCTGCGGGGGTTTTCAATCACTTCATTTCACAAAGTCAACTAAGATTTTTAGCCTTACATTACAGTATTGTTTGGGGAAATATACATTTGTGGTTCTTTACATTTCTATATTTGTGCTGTTTCAAATGTACAAATTTGTTGCCGCTGAACAATCGGTGTCTTTATAGCTGTTTACAACACAAGTACAATAAAGGCTTTGCTAGTGTAGCACATGAAAACTTAATGTCATAGTCACATCTGATCGTTTACTCACTATTCCACATTCCATCTATTTTACTGTGCTATTTAACCTATGTATTGGTTTAAACAAGTCATTTAAAGGCAGGGTGTGTCATTATCTCCAGATACACGTTTTGGTTGAAATTGTCAGTAGGTCATGACAGAAATTAATAATTCATGTGCTCATAAAAAAGAATGAAGAAAATCAGTCATCTGTAGCAACTGTAAGCCTGTAAAAACTTTGAACAATGTCTGCCACGAGGTACCAAACTGATGAACCAATCCCGCCTCCCTGTCTCCCTGCTCCCTTTGCGTGCACTGGCCCACAAAGCGTGTCACCGGTGACAGAGTTTATACTGTGAGTTTATACTATGAATTTACTCACCGCTTTATGAGACATGAGATGATGTAGTTTCTAATCAATGCAAGCGGTGAGCTGAGGTCCACTTCTGGAGAAACGGCGCTCATGCATTTAAGTGAGGGGTGTGTTTTTTTTGTGGGAGCAGAGAGGGGAGTGGGTGTAGAAGGACTTTCGAAATCATGCTGGTTTTTTCGAAAATGACCAACCCTGACATCCACGTTTGGTAAGGCCAGTTGGAACTCTTCTCATTCAGTAAAGATTTGACATTACTGATAAACTATTTAACATTTTTAAACCTGAAAACAAAGAAACAATGATTTTAATTACTCTCCACGACAGTTAAATGTGTTTAAAGGAAGTACTCTGACCTTTTATTTATCTTCTGTTTTCCAGATGTTATTATGTCAGCTTATTAATAGTACTGATTGCTGTTTAAATAAAACACATGTTCTGATCATACTTGTTTATTTTTTGAACCACTCAGGTAAATAGACTTTTTTTTTTTTACAAAGCTACAAAATGACGAGTTTGTAGCCGTGACGGTCGGGTGCCCTCTCAGACCGCACAACTGGACGTCATCACCCTGCTCAGTATCTGATGAAATGTGTTGTTAGTTCTGCTTTGTTCCCCTGTCTCAACTTCAATACACCATGAAGGTTAAATATCAGAATAAAAAGGATGAAGAAAAAACATCATGCTTTAAAGGTTGTTTTTTTTTGCATGAACAAAAATATCTTAATGTTTGTTATTATAGTTGAGATTAAAAGTTTTTAGCACATGCTAAATCCCATCTGCAGAGGAATGAACAGTGGAACACACTCTTCTGTGTGCTAACAAGGCTGCAGAGCATTAATAAAATAATTTAGAAAAGGAAAAGACAAGATAGAAAATAAATCCCTTTCATTGAAAGTCATGATGACCAGAATTAGGTAGAAACAGTCTGGCATTGTTCATTTTTAAATATCAGGACTAAGTATATACACTGTACACAAGCATGGATCCTAAACTTTAATTCAAGAGAGACAAAACAATAGTTTTTTGGTTTTGTGTTTTTCTTTCTTAACAATCCTCTATTTTACAGAATGGCAGGCTAACTCCATTTCCCCCTTAGGCCAATAATTTATACAAACCTGTTTTTACAAATCCTATTGGTTTATTTATGACATGTTTTCCTATTTCTGTTTCTACTTCTTTATTCTTAAAAAAAAAACAAAAACAGCTCAATTGTGTTATTTTTATAACACAAAAAATACTGTTTAAGATGAGCATGTCTATCCTAACTTTAACGTAAAACAATTCAAATGATGGCCTTCAATTTTAAATTCATAGATTTTTTTTTTGTGTGAACTGAAAAATTGCCTGAAAATTACATCAGCAAATACAATTTAAAAAAAAAAAAAAAAAGGATTGGCTCAGCCTTGATCCTGAGGCCGGATTAACCACGGGCCTTTGTAGCCTAAAATGAACCCTTCAGTGTTTGGAAAAAGAAAATGCTCGTTCTATCTTTTTCTCTGCCAATACTCCTACAAACCTGTTTGGGTTGATATATTCACTCCTTTAGGCAACACATGTTCTTCAAACAAATTTAAACTGCCAACTGTATTCAAATGCTCTTTTTGAATAAACAAACATTGATAGATTTATTGAAGTATTTATTTTTCCTGTACCAATTATGGTTCGTCGACTATGTAAAGCAAAAACAAACATAATACTAAAAACGCCTTGTCTTACATTTGAATAAATTACATTTTATCTCAGATCTTAAAATCTTTTGTACAAATAGGAAATGAGACTTTAAGACCCTGCAGAATCAAAGACAACAACGAGGAAAAAGTGCATCAATTGGACACTCAAGTGCAAAACATTTGTTATGGCTATTGCGTTGGCTATATTTGTCACTGAAAAATATGACTAATCTTATCAGAAACCATAAGATTTCTGACTGTTAAAAAAAATCACATTAAAACTGTAGATGTTCCCTGTGAGCTTATCCGATTTTTTTGATACAGCGGAAGTAAAAGAAAAAAAGAAAAAAGAATGATGTACGGCCTATTTGTCCTAACAGTGACTGTGCCCGTATAGATAGGCCGCTATTTCGTTAACATTAATAGTAATATTCCTATTCCGAAAATAAGGCCAGCCAATAAATAAATAAAGCTGATATAACAGCAAAACAGTCTGTATGCATAATTTAGGCTGCAGGCCTCTCCGGGCCTCGTTTCTCTGAACTCTGAGTCCACATTCAGAAGAAGCAGCAAAGGGGATTTAATATCACAGCGTCCGGGAGATTATTCCAGAGAATCCAGAAAATCAACCACATTTGTATGGCCGTATTTACCGGCCAAATCTCTAGGCCGAAGGTTGTCCTTGTCCCTGGCCTGCGGGTTTGCTTTGAACTCCACCAGCAGCTTCACGGTGTCCAGGAAGCCCATCCTGGCCGCGTCGTGCAGCGGGGTGTGCTCGGTGCTGCGGTCCGCCACGTTGGGATTCGCTCCGTGCGTAAGTAACAGCCGTGCCACCGGCGTGCTGCCCATCATCATCACCTTCACAACAACATGACAGTGAGTCACCATCTCATATAACCTGATTACCACCATAAAACCATCAAAATAAATTAATGTTTAAACTTGACATGGAATTCAAACCGGAGCATAAAGACTCATGCAGCTGCACTTTAATAAAGCCTGTTATCACACCGAGCAGAAATGAACAGCCTACATCCTCAGATATTTTATTAGAATATATTTAATCTATTGAAAATAATATTTGAAGAATAAATTTAAAAACCTATAGGCTATATATATATATATATAAAAGAATACAGATGTCAAGAGACTAGGCTATATCAAGTAGAGTTAGTCTACGTAAAGTCATCGGCTAAGCAATAAAAATCATTTAATCTTAACTCTGTTTAATGAGCCTCTGGAAGCATCCACATACCTGACATATCATGCAAGGTGACAACGAAATGCCAACGCTACGGGTTGAACAGCAGCCTTTAAGGCGTGTGCTATTAACATTTAGTTTCGTTTTCTTATATCTGAAAGACAAATGATCGTCTATCAAATTAACTGAGACAAAAAAAGTGTGTTGTTTTTTTCTTAGGAGGCCCTACAAACCGAATTAATCCAAGTTCAGTCACAAAGGCCCTTCATCTGCACTTAAAAGAACAAACCAGTCTGTAATAGCCTATAATACACAATATTTATGATTAAAGATAAAAGACTTTGGGCAGTAGGGAATACTGGCTTTCAGTGGAAATGTTTTTATTTTTTTATCGAACCATGTTTTTATGGGAATTTATAGTGAGCCGGACTTTAATGACACCATGTAGGCCTATGTTTAATACAATCAGAATAGTACAGTTTATTCTACTAGGCTGGTCGTCACCTGAATACAAATTTTCAAGGTTTTCTTTAAACCTTAAAAATGTCCCAGAGGCCTTTAGAGATTATGCTGTTTTTGGCTCCTGCATTTATGCACATTCTTAAAAACTTGAAGTTTATTTTCCATAATCTTAAAAATAAATGATGTTACCTGGACAGCCTCTAAAGGGAGAGCTGCATACTGTTATAAGTTAACTAAGTTTGATGCCCGAACATACACACACGGCCCCGGACTGCACCTCTATTTTAGGACGCGTTGATTTCTCTACAGTGTAAATAAATGATTTATACACTTCTACACATATTATCAATGGGCTACTTGTTGTCATTTAAAGCTGTGCAGTGATTCAAACTGACTTTATGAATCACATTTTCATTGTGAATATGGGCCTCTGTGGGCTGCATCTGCACTGACCTGTAGTGCGGATCGTCCGAAATGATTGAGCCCGTTAACTTGAGCTCCTTTCCGCAGAAGATCCTCCACATCTGCCGTGTTCCCCTTCGCTGCAGCAGCTGTCAGCTCATCCTCCAGAGTCATTGTCATGTCCCGCAACCCTGCGGCGATAACAAACCTTCGCGACAGATTGCACTGACAGGTAGGCTGGTGATGAGGATGATGCCTATTTTTTGAGGAAAAAGAAAAACAGCTGAAAAAAAAAAAAAAAGAAGCCAGCCGCGAGTTGGTGAGTCAAATATTCACGTGTGGACGTGTGGCCGCTGCTCTCAGACGTCCACGGCTCCACAGTTTTTCCGGTCAGCCGGTTGTCTGAGTCGGAGAAGTGATCGTTGCATCGCCTCGTCCAACCGATCGGTTGGTGTGTGTCCGGGCTTGCCTCGGTTTAAAAAGGTGACGTCACTAGCTCTGCAGTGGCGCGATTGTGCGCATGCGCAGACCGTCACGCTGACTTGCTCTCCCCGACAGCTGATAATATTTCAGTTTACTCTGAGTTTACCACACGTTCCTGTTTCAAGATGATGGTAATGTAGTAAACATTTAATAAACATATTAATGTGAACATTTTTAAATTATTTTGTAGATCGTTTTCTTTCAAATTAAACGATCTGACTCTGATTCTGGTTTTGAAATAAACGCTGATTTGTTTACGTGTTATGCTACTTTTATACCTGTTTCAAGACACGATCTTGGCTATAACTTCTTAACCCTGAAGGAAATATTTTTAAAGACCTGAAGTTGACTGATTTAATAGCTCTGGAGCTTTTCAATGTGGTATGATCTTCTTCAAACATACAGTTGTTATTGTGTAAATAATTGTATGGTAACATAGGCTATCCACTCTAAACAAGAATACACATCTAAAACAAAAAAAAGTTAACAATACTAGAAGCGAAGGGGAATCTTAAATCTTAATTAAACCACATATAACTTTAGGAAAGCTTACATACGCTACTTATTCAGAATGTGGTCAAGTAAAGTGCTAAAGCTTTTAAACTGTGAGATGACTGAAGTAGCACAATTTGTTAAGGTGACATATGACAATAGTTGATAAGCAGTATTGAACTGAATGAGTATTTCCTGTAATAGATTCAAAGTAAGCTTGATTTGCTTCTGCTGTACTGTATTGGGGTAAAAAAAAAAGAAAAAAAAAAGGATTTTAGAGTCATCCTATTTCAACTTTAAACTCTGACACTTTTGTAATACAGCCTCACATTCTCTGGGGAAGTTATCCTCAGTATGTTTCTGTAGAGCATAGGCCTACCTGATATTCATGACAGCAAATCAAGTTGCAAAGTAGTGACAGATTAACAATAAAACTGGGGCCAGTTCTGCTGAGCAGATTAAAAATCGATTTTGAACAGGACGCTGAGGTATGTTAACAGAGTTGACCTCTCAATAGAGGCCTTTCATAAAAAATGATAAGAATGCTGCTCATTCGCCGTGTTAGAAGAGACAGCAGCTATTGTGTGTAAATCAATGGTTTCTTTATTTGTTAATGTCTTAAAAACATATGAGCTAAAGTAACACAAAGTTATAATGTACTTTTGACATGTCATCGCACTCTACTATGCTTCTCCGTTCTTTAACCTGATGATTAACTACGACTGTAAAATAGGCTTTTCCATTTGAACGAGGTTTCTGATAACTAAACGTGGCCATGTTGAAGGAGGGACTGATTATTGGAATAACGGTTGCTTTCGTATCAAAATAAAATACATCACGCTTGCCATCAGGTGTGTTGAGGATGGGGCCGGGGCTTTGAGTGATTTAAGTCCTGAAATGTGTCTTCTGTTAAATCCATTGGAAGTCGTCATAAGTGTCTGTGATGAACAATTTACTCTTTTTACATT